TCGTTAAATATGGCTTAGGTCGAGCAAATGCCAGTTTCATTTATGAAATATTATTCCAAATGAAACAGAAATCGTGAAACGATACAAACTTAAAACAGTTTTACATTTTAAGTTATATGTATGGACATTTTAAACACTTTCAAAGAGCATCATTTCTGCACTTTCCGGCCGTGGCAGGTACTGTTTTCGGAATAGATTAAAGACTTTATAAAATACAAACACATTAGCACCAGGCAATGTTAATGATATAGCTAAAAATGTTATTGAATGGCTCTACGTCTATGTTTAGTTGTAATTGCAAGAAGCAAAACATATCAGATGATCCAATCCGCATTTAAAGAATTAAATGAGAATATCATATGTGCATTTATATATGTATGCTGGGTCAGATAATAGTTGCAATGGAAAACTAAACTGTTTGTTTATGCAATAGCCCTACTAAAAGCTGACAACATATTTTAAATAAATTTTGAATACAGAATACAGCTTCTCCGCAGGATGTTCTTTCCCGTCTTATTTATCTTAGAGGTTAAATTAAAGGAATATCGTTTAGTTCTTTTTTCCAGATAACTGTCTTATTTACACGAATAAAGAACCTTTCACATCCTTGTAAAGAAATACGTTTTTTATTACTTAATTTACTACTATTAAAATTATTCGAATAGAATCTAAATTTTATTTCTTTTCTTTAACCCTTCCCCGGGGAAAAAAAAAAAAAAAAAAAAAAAATTCGGTTTTCTATCTGGTAAAAACAACGCCCAGATACAACATACGAAAAAAAAAACTATATTTTGATTAAAATGCAATTTTGGCATGCACAAGAAGTGCAACAATCTATATAAATACGTTTCCGAAAAATTCTGCTAAAATATTAAAAGTTGTATTTGTAAAGCATTTATTATAGTAAATTGTGTTTATTATAGTAATAGAGTAATTGCCTACTCAACTTTTGGTTTTCATAACCTATAAGGTATTTTTTCCCACCTTCTTAGCATACCTTCGTGGTGTAATGGTCAGCACACTCGGTGTGTATTCGAGAGGTCCGTGGTTCGAGTCCCGGCGAAGGCATTGCTCCTATTTCACATGTCCTGCTTCGAAATAACCTAATGTTTCTATAGTGGTGCCCAAACCAAAAAAGGTGGTGGATGACGATTCTCCGCCGCAGGGATTTGGCGATTCGGTCCCCTAACCCCCAGTCGCCCTTTAAATGGGGGAGTATAATACGGTATTTTATTTTTCTCCCCCGTTTTTAGCATGCCTTCATGGTGTCAGTACGCTCGGCGCACATTCGAGAAGTCCGTGGTTCGTGTCCCGGGTAGGGCATTGCTCATTTTTCATTTCTCTTGCTGTTAAAAAAATGTAATGTCTCTACAAACCTTCCATTCATCAGAATAATAAAAAAGTCATGAAGCATAGGGGGTAGGGGGGGAAAAAAGAATTTTAAAGAAAAGATTAATTTTACAAAATGACTCAAAATTTCTTGAGACAGTATAAGTAGTTATATAACCCAAATAATTAAATATTTGATCTTTTTATTTTACCAGTATTTCTGCATAGAAATAAAACATAATTAAATATCGATAATGAGTATCATAGATAGTGGAGCATATCAGATGAGCTTCCCAATATTTTCAAAAGCAGCCACATTGACAAATGACCAGAACTGTCGGGAATTGCTAATGAATGTCACTTACACGTTTCATAATGCCAAGAATGTTATAAAAATAACGGTTATGCTATATCAAACAACTTACCGATCTTTCCAAAGTGCTTTAAAAAAAGTAGAGCTGTTCCAAAAATTGTATTCAGTTCACTTCACATTGTTTGTTGCTAATCAATCAAAAGCTCGTCGTCGATTTTTTAACTACTTCTCAATACGCTATCGATAAGCTTTAAATTTTGTACATACACCATTTACAGATGATACATACACGTGTTTTAAAGCGAGTTTTATAATAATTTCGATTTAGAGTTTTTAAAATTTAATGTCGAAGAAATTTTTTGCGCACATATTTCCATTTAAAGAATAAACTAAAAATCTTAAATTTTTTAAGTTTGCATCATTTTACAGAGCGTAAAATAGCTTTGAAATAAAATAAAATTTGCATGAAATTCGTAACCTAATTTCTGATTTGGGGGCGAATTTTGTTTTAAATTTATATATTTTTCGATTATTTGAGGTAAAAGGATACTTGGAAGTAAAAGACTGAACCAAAAGTAATAATAATAATAATAATTTATCACATAGATTACTTAATACCCTCTTTGCTAAATTCCTGTATAGTTTTATAAGAAGAATCATAGGTTCTTAAATTACGAAATCAAATAATTGAATCACATTGTCAGATGTATAAGATTTATAAATTTATCAAGAGAGCCTCACATTTTTATTATTCGTGTTATAAATTTGTAGAAGAATTTTTTAAAGAGAATTATTTAATCTCGTATTCCCATTAAATTACACGATACATTATTTTTAGAACAAAGCATGTTAGCCAAGAAGGTCTATTAAATTCATTTTGGCATTTTGCGTTGATAACTATGTCAGTTCACTTTTAAAACTGTTGCTACCAAATATTACAGCCCTGTATTATATTTAAAGAAATTAAATAATGGTTTTGGTTTATTAGATTACGGCAAAGCACTCGAGGGCTATCTGCCTTGAAATTAAATAATGAATAATCTGCATAAATATATGTATGTTTCTCGCATTGTGATAAAACAACGGTACCTAGATCTATCCAAATTTGAATAACATACATTTCCACCCGAATGTGGGCATCTCGAAGCCAAGATTTGAAATTTGCTTTGTTATCTGTTTCATATTTCGTAAAACTTCAATGAATTTTTTATTAAGAAACTCGACAATTTCAAAGCGAGCAAAGGCAAGACTGTATGAAAATAATAATATAGAAAAATTATCTCCATCGGGCGAGACTGTGTATCGGAAATTCTAAAGATATGCTCATTTAAAATTTATTTTGCGGTATTGCTGTTTAACTGAAGTTTTATAGTACGTTCATTTTGTAAAAAATTCTATTTTTTATTCAATAACTGCTCTAAAATGGAAATTCTTAAATCCTTTTATATATGCATCCGCTTTGTAACTGGTAATAAATTTGTTTCTTTAGAGTTAAAGGCCTTTATCCCAAAACATCAACAAGATTTCTCCCCACGCTAATGACAGCCATTACCCACTGTCGTCAGGATTGCATGGACCCTTGTCTCCTGAGGCATTGGGGGTTGGAAGACATACAAAAATACAGGCTAGTCGTTTTTGGCGCGTTTTTTTCAATAATACAAAAACACGGGACTGTCCGTTTTCGAGGGTACATTTAAACTAACAATAATTCGTAACAAACCGTTAAGAGACCTGCATAAAAGAACGAGAAAATCTGGGTCAAACTGTTAATGGGTTAAGTGCTCCCATGCCTCAAAGATATTATGTGTTTCCAAACACCCTCGCAGTTTCTTCCAAAACCTCGAGGTGCATGTGAATATTTTTCTGTGTTTTGTATTAAATTTGCCCTATCAATTTTTAAAAGGTTTCTGTTAAATCAGTGTTTTTTTTTTTTTTTTTTTTTTTTACACACACTCCAACCAATATTAAGGCTTTCTTTTATAAGGGCTTTGGCATTTGTTTCAAAATCTGTGACACTTTTTTTTTACCTAGATTCTTGATGAATATGTAAGTAAATATGGACTACTATAAATGAATTAATGTTAATTGTTATGCATGAAAAAATTAAACATGCTCTGAAAATATATCTTAATGTGATTTTTGGAGTGAAAATAAATATCAGGAAAATGTGGTATTTATTGCTCCAAACATTTGATAGCTTCTACAGAGCGACAGCTCTAAAAATGTTTTTCAGAATTTAGGAAAGGAAGTATAGCTGGCAGTCATGGACGACAGGCAAAACTTTACCAAAAATACTAAAGCTACAATTTATAAGAACAATTCAAAAAGGGTAAATTTTTCAAAAAGTGGGTTCCTGGATGCCTTTAAAACTGCATTTTCTGTATTCTTACCTTGATTACTTCCCAATAATAGATAGCCCCTGGGATGTATACACTGACTTAGCATTTTACTAAGGCACTCTGGAAGAACAAAAACATGAACCTGGCAGTTTCAGAACCCAATGACAATTGTTTCATTGCAGTCAGATACAGGAAATTAATGTTAAACTCTAGTACTGATGGCACCAGTAGCTCGGTAGGGCAGGTGTGGTGGGTAATGTCCTCGGTGACGGGCTGCCCATCCAGTACTGGAGGGAGCAATCTAATGACCAGATTTCCAGGCGAATAGGTCATGCTGTACAAGTAGTGCTGAGAACAAGAAGTAAGTGACACCTCGAACCTGGCTCGAAAGTGCTGTTTGGAAAAATTTTGGAATCCATATGAACCTGGTGTGAGACAGAGGTGCTTGGGAATTGTATTTGCAAGCATCTTCAAAGTGATTTTTGGTTGGATTACCATCACTTGCCTAATATGGGGGTTTTCAGCTGGGACTCCAGCCTGTGTAGTTGCATTGGGCTGCAGGAGTATGTATAAAGTTTGTTGTTGTTCCCAGTTTTAAAGTAGCAGGGAAAATAGACATGTGAAGATTTTCCAACAGACAATCTCTCATAAAATACTATTTCCATGCATAAGATAATGCAGCAATGCTTACTGACTGTTGTTGATTTACCAAAAAGTGCATCTGATAAGCAGTACAAACGCATGCGTATGTAAATATATATATTATATACCACACTAACCTAACACTCATATAAATAAACATATATTATATACCACACTAACCTAGCACATTGATATACCTAAAAAGTATCTTCTAGTTATAAAATATATACAAATATATTATTATATAACAAAATATTACATTACGGTAATATAATGAAAATAATCTATAAAAGCATACTCTGAAAATAACTGACACTAGATATTAAAAGAAGTGAAAAATTTTATTTATAATAGTATGGAAACATCAATTCAAATAACAAAATGATCAAAGGATGAAAATATATTTAAATAAAAGTTATTTTTGTACGTGACTGGTTCACATGCCATATGTCTAACTCTTCATACTCTTCAATTGCTTCTTCAAACTGATCTGGGTTAAAACCTTTAGCAACACAACGTTCAAGGGCATCAGCAACTTTTACAGTTCTGCACTCAGTTTCTGCCATAATGTCTCGAATTATATTAAATATTTGATCAGTTGCAGTTTGTGCTCTAGAGAAAAAATAAAATATAACAAATAAGAAGCAAACCAAGCAAGGGAAAAAAATTAGGTTGCAAAAGTAAAATATTTCAAGCAAATAATCTAGTCAGCTCTACAACTTAAAAGCAATATCAGGCAAACTAAGAAATTCGTACAGTCAAATCCCAGTATACTAAATTTGGCTTATAACAAACAAACATTTTGTACAGTTTCCCATCCTTTGCATTGTTTTATATGAATACAGAAAACCTCAAAATCAATGAAAATAAGATATAATGAACTTTATAAGTATCTCCAACTGACACATTTTTATATTTTTCACATATTTTTCAGAACATTTTTGTGAATTTTATTGAAAAATTACTTATGTTTAAAATCATACATGAGAGGATAGAGGAAAATAAATACCTTTATTATTAGAGTAAATTTTTGCTTAACTTAAGGACTATGTCATTAATACATTGCATGAATGAAAAAACTGCAAAGTTTATTTTCTATAAAAAATTGTGTTTAGTATAATTCATATTAATGAAGTAAGTATAATTTTAATAAACCTAAATATTGTTATAATTAAAAGGGAAAATGGCACAAATGTTAATTGAATGAATTTTTATTACTGTATTTTATAACTAGATATATTACTATTATAGAATTTTTATTACTTTTGTTAAGTACATGATACAATTATTTTTTAAAAAAGCTGGTGATTTTTACTTGGGACAATGACTTAAAGAACTCTTTACGGGGGGTGACTGGGAAGCGAGGGGGGATAAAAGATATTAAAATATATATATATATACTAAGTATTTAACAATTTGATTACATGTTTATTTTGAATTTCAAATTATTAAAATCAAATTGTCATACTTGCAAGCATAAGAATGATTAAAAATTTAGTTTGGTATGATATTTCATGAAGCATGGAACTGAACAAAGTCCAATATTACAGTTCCTGCAATAGTATCTTGTTTCCTTCCTTATCTTTTTTACTCCTCTCATATCTTTTACTGCGACAAACAACACAATTTCTACAAGGGGCTGCTTTTCTTTTCTGTCAGTGGTACAAATTCGGGAAAGAGTCTTTCGGTTAGTCTCAAAGGCCCAGGTTGGTTGGTAACCAGGCCGACCTGTTCTTTCAGGTAACATTTTTGAATGATATTTTTCAATTAATTTTTCAACAAGCATTTTACTGAATTCTAAATGGTCCCATTTTCTTCCATTTTTTTATATAGTTCAAATGAATTGCATATGGATATATCCACAAGATGGAAAAATATTTGATTACAGTACTTTTTTCCTAGTTTTCTCGTTGGGTAATCGTGGAGATGCTGATCAAGCTGATCAATGCCTCCTATTGTATCGTTGTAATCAATTACAACTTTTGGCTTCTTTATTTGAGTACCATTATTGGTTGTTTTACTTGTATTTTCCTGCTGTGTGCTATGGATTGTTGAAAGCATACTGACATCTCTTTTTTGTCTTTCCACTTCCTCACCATTACTTTCCTTCTTAGAAACGCTATAACATCTCCCTTTTTCAATTTTTTATTTCCAATTTTAGATGGAACTTCTTTCATGGAACTTTTCAGAGTCCTGTAAGGTATCTGTTTGATGTTTTACTAGGAAATCCACTAATTGTGGAGCTAATAATGGTTCAATCAGTGACAATACCACTTGAGTTGATACCGACATTTCTTGATATGCATCGCTCATATTCGTTCCTTTTCTGGTATATATAATGGATGAATATAAGTAACCCGTTTTTGATTTGCAAAGTTACATCTTTATTCCGAAACGAGCTTGCTTCCATGGTATATATTGCTTCCAATTTATTCGCCCTTTATCCAGTAGTAGACTTTCATCTATTGCAATATCTCTTTCGGGTGTAAACAGAGAAAAACACTTTTTATTTATATGGTCTTATTGAGCTTGGGATGGGGGTGAATCTCAGCATCATAAGTTTCATTGTTAGAGAAGTGAAAATATCTTTTTATCTCAGAATAGCGACGAAAGCTAAGGAACTTCAGAAAATAGGTGATTGAAAAATTTCAACTTTTGACCGATATATCCTTACGTTAGGCTTTCTAATTATACCTTGTAGTATAGTTATGGCTAAAAGTATATATAATTCTTCCATGGTAATCGGTGACCATTGGTTCTATGACGATCTTAGATGTTGAAATGCACATCTATTTGTTTTGGTTAGCATTATGTCCATTAGAGAGTTATCAAAAAATAATTTAAAGTACGACAAAACATCATAGAAATCTGTCAAAGTAAAAGAACAGTCAGGGTTTGCTTCAAATCGAAATCTCGGTGGTGCAATGTTTGGTTGATTTGTACTAATTTGATACGAATTTCTTGCTATACCCAAAATCTTGTTGTCGTTATCTTCCGCTTCACTTCCATCACTCAAAAAATCATCACTTTCATCGTTGAAACCGTCTGATACATTGGCATACTCAAAATTGTCAGAGTCGCTCATTATCAGATAACTTTTCCTAAACAATAACAAAAACACTTGGTAAAAGTTAATTTGTGGTTATCTGCTTACTTTTATAATATTTATGTAATAAAAATGGATATATTACACCAAACAACTGCTTTATAACAAAGAATTTCTAACAAACTTTTAGCTAATCATTAAAATTCACCCCCTGGTTTACACAAGGAAAATGCAGCATAATAGTGTGAACGACATTCAATAAGTTTAATTATAATCTAGCCTATCTATTTTTACTGGAACGGATCTCAGATGGGCATTATAAATAAAATAACACGAGATACAAGAGCATCTATGTGAGACACGGGCATGTGCAAATAATTTTCATCAGTGTCAGACACGTGCAAATGCGTTAACAGGTTAAAGATCAAAGGTACTCTTGCAGAAAACTGTTAGATGTGCAAATCACAGTTCTTGTGTGTAGTGATATAAATGGCATTAAGAAACATAGACTTTTGGCAACAAAAAAACCTCAAAAGTCAGAATTCTTAAAAAATTTGAAAATTCTTTCCGTTTCCCATAAATCTAATTATATGGCATCGATGACATCACTATTGAATCAGATTGTTTTCGTGCCCAGAATGCATTCTCAATGCTGATTGTGATGGAAAGTTTTCTTTATTAATAATATTTTTCTCTGTTTCTCATTTATTATAATTCTATTAAAGACAATACTTTCAAATCTAATCTGTTAGTAACCATTACCTATAATAGTAACAATAGGTCAACTATAGTTGATTTATAATACTTGAATTTGCATTAATACCTTTTCAATAAATTTGTGCTATCCCCCACCCACCTAAATGTGTATGTATGTAAATAAAATCAAAAGTTCATTTATCATTACAATAAACAAAGAGGAGTCTTCAACAGGTAATTCATATATATCACTCAAAGACAAATAAAAGGTTCAAAAGTAAACAACAACACTTAAGGGTGAGAAAATGCAGAATTTACCTTCCTGTATAATGACGCTGCTGAGTTAATGATGTTTTTGACATATCAAGTAAGCGAATAGCTTCATCAACATCCTGTTTTACAACTGTTCCTCTAAGATTTAGACGAGCCTAAAATTTAAATAATATTGAAACAAATTTTCATCTCATCTTTTATATAATTGTTATTAAAAAATTATGATTTATATAAAGTTCCCAGACGGTATCAAATGATCAGTTTTATGATCAAAATGATCAGTTTTAGATGCAAAATGATCAGTTTTAGAAGAAATAACCCAGTCAGAAATAATTAATATTAATCTTCATGGATTTTACCATTTTTAATAAATGATTTGAATTTTTCAATTATCTGAAAATACAATCTGGAATTCATTACATTACTGAAACCATTCAATCATAGCTTATTTAAATAAAATTTGCATTTTATTAGTCATAAGCAAGAAGAATATTTTAACAGAACAGGACTTTCTTAAGAAAACATGATATTTAATTACTTTTCAGCAAATAAGGTTTTAATCATATTAAAATAAATAATAAATGAATTAAATAAAAATATATTAACAATAAATACATATTAATTATGCATGGATAATTAATAACTAAAATAGATAAGAAATGAAAGAAATTAAATCAGGCCTTTCAGCAAATAAAGATTAAATTACATTAAAATACGAATACATTATAATACAAATGGACATTATAAAAGAACAAATAAAAAACTTAATGGGGGGAAACAGCTTATTATTGAAATATTTAACAAAATAATTTAGCAGAAGACTTAACATACCACTGACATTTAAATACACCCTTTAATATAACAGGATGAATGAGCACCTTATTTATAACTCCAAATGAATAACTTTTCTTCCAATTAGTAAAAATATAAATAATATTTTAAGCTAGGACAAATAAAAAAAGCATTTTAAAATACGTACATATTTGAAAAGATAGAATTAGATATACTAAGACAACAAAACAAAAATTTATTTGGATGAAAAGGAGTAAAACACCTTAACTTTCTCACCTTAATACATTTAAGAACACAATTTATGCAAAAGCTTTTAACATATCATTGAAACTTCAAAATACCGAGTAGCCTAGGATCAACAGCAATTAAAATTCCAAATGAATGATAGACTTATCCACTTCTTCCAACTAACAGGAATAAAAATAACACTCTAAAGTAGAATATTAAGAAATATATATACAGTCAAAAGTCGTTAATTCGGACACCCATAATCCGGAATGATCTATAATCTGGATCTCAAAGCTACAAACTTTCTGCGCATGCGTCATGTTGACACATGCGCGTAAGACCTTTACCGCTGTGAATTTGCGTGTGCAAAGTACGTTTACGAATGCGCGTTTAATGTATAACGGACGGGATAAGCTAAGCTAAAAATTATCTAATTATCTATTTCAGTTAATGTTGCAGATTGCATTGTTCCTTAATCTTCGAATTGGATCCGGATTATTATTTTTTGCACTGTTAGAGCAATTTTATAAAAGTAAGCTTGAACTTTCGATTATGTCAAATAGAATTTCTGATATATATTTACTAATATGTAAAGGATATACAAAGCGAAAGTATCTTTCGGAGTCCATTAAACAAAAAGTGGAATTGCTGCAAAAAATGGATAAAGGCATATCCTTTGTTTATCTTTAACGCTGCAGCGGCATGCAATGAATTGGAAGTTGATCTGTCAGCACTATCCTTATCTTAAGGGCAGATGTTTTTATTTTATTTGGCTTATAATTGCTTACTCAATGTAGTATTTCATCTCGATGTACTCCGTATTTGATATGATTTAAATCAAATGCCTCGTCATTATAATTCGCTTCCGATAGCGAAGAAAGTGACAGAGGTTATTGAAAACGAAAAAATTTCGATTGACAAATTAGTCGGTATTCTTGACACAGCAATTATAGGACTTGAACAGCGGAACTTTGTAACTGAACAAGAAATTATGTCTGTTTATAGAATTAAGGAGAATGTATTATCACATAAAAAACGAAGCAACTTAAACAACTTACATTGAAAGAAATGTTTAATAAAGTAAACAAATAAACATTAAGCTTTTTTTTTTTTTTTTTTTTTTTTTTGTAAATTTTGATACCCTTTAGATCATAATTGTTCTTTATTCGTAAATTTACGGTTTCATATTTTTTAATTTATTAATTTCTGCATGCCATTTACCAGATTTAAACTGATGATCTATAATCCGGAAAAGTCGCTAATCCGGAATCGCCGAAGTCCCGACGAGTCCGGATTAACGACTTTTGACTGTATATATATATACACTAATTTCCAAAATTACGGAAAAATCATAAAAGTAGCGATAACTAATTCTCAAAATTAAACCAATTCATATAAAATTTGAGTATGTTGTCAAATAAAAGAAGCAACTGCAGTATGCAAATTAGTGGTGCTGCAATCAGAATATGACATCTGTGAGAAGCATGACATTGCATATTTGACAGCAAGCCTACAGATTTCACTATAATACAGAGATAAGAAATCTGGGATAGCCAAATCTTAACAATGACCTCCAGGCATAATTTGCCCAAAGAACTTAGATGTAGAGCTATTGGAAGATTACAAGCAGAACAAAGACAGAATAGGCCAAGTGGCTAAATATGAGCCCTGCTGTGCCTCATAGACTTTAGCAACAATTTCTAACCACAGATTCGGCATCCGAGAGATTCAGCCAAGAGTGGCCAACCTCTACAACAAGTGTCGATGACCAAAATTTGTTGTATGCACGTGAAGGAATAGATCTGCAACTCCGACTCTCTCTTTCTACAGTCACCAGACAGCTGGTGTCAATGTCAACTGTGCATATTAGGCTTCACAAAGGTGACCAGCTATTTGCGTGCTGCTCAGGTCACATCATAGAAGGGAACATTTGAGGTGAGCACGTCAACATGTCCAACTGGACAGCTGATTTCTTTACGGAGTTCAGGCACAGCCTCAAAAGCAACAGTAGACTTTATTTGATTTGGAGATAGCCTGGAGCCCGTTATTGTCCATCAAATATCTATGAATGAGGCAATGTCTGCATTTGGGGTGATATTTCTTTGGGTAAATGCACAGATCTCCATATCTTTCTACATGGAACCTGAATGCTCAGGGCTATAGAGACAACATCCTTGATGCTTATGTGTGCCTTTATGCCTGGGCAATAGGTAATAATTTCCTGCTGCAGAATGACATGGTAAATCACATAGGGCTAACATCGTGAATGATTATCTTCAGCAGCAAAATATTCAGCGCATGGAGTGACCAGTTCGATCACCAGACCTGAATCATATCAAGCATGTTTGGGATGCTTTAGGAAGATGTATAGCTGCTCTTAGCCCTCCTCTTCAGACCCTTGCCACACTTGCAACTCCTTTGCAAGAACAATGGCTCTCACATTGTACAGAACTGATAGACCACATAATTGACTTCAACACATATCGCTACACATGCTGCATTACTTCTAGGAGAGATCATACTCTATACCAGAGGTTCTCAACCGGAGTTACGCAGGCGAAAAATAGGTGGTATGCAAAGAAACAAAGTATTTTTAACTGTTAAATTCAAAAAATAAAACCCCAACATCCTGATCTGAGCTTGTGGTGTAGTAGTACTTTGCAGTGTTAGTACTTTGTAGTGGTGGTCTCAATTTTTGTTTAGATGATACGCGTTAGTCAAAAGGTTGAACCGCTGCTCTATACTAAAGGTATAGAGCAGCGGTTCACATATACACATAGAAACCTCCGTTCCTTAATAAAGGTAACTAGCTTCTAGTATTGTATAATTATCAAAGTTTATAACTATAAAAATCTTCAAACTAGTTAATTGAAATGGAAAATATATACAAAATTAAAGATATAATTAAATCCTACACTGCCCCACAATAATAATATGGACCATATAATTTTGTGAATATAAAATAAGAAAATAAATTTCATAATCATATCTTTTTGGGGAAGGCAATAAAAAAATTTCAAACACATGCATTAACATTACAAAATCGCACAAATTTCAAAATTTTATAATGTAATTAAATTTTAATTTGAAATAATATACTATCATTACCGAAATTTTTAGACTTATTTGAACCGCTGCTCTATACTAAAGGTAATTTTTCTATAAACTGACACATTTGTTCTTTATATATGTAAGTAGCAGGAGTGTGACAACTTAACAAGACTAATGGTATCGCAGTGAGATGAATGATGGAAGAGAAGAAGAACAGTCGTGTTTTCGACTAATACGTAATGATAGACGATGAAGATTAACCTCTCAATCATCACTCTTTTTTCATTTACAAATATTCACTAATACATATCCATCAATACTTAAATAAAACAATTTAGTCACCTAGATGTGTATCATCAGCCTAGAAATACCCTAGATGCCGAGTTTACATATATATATGATATAATAAAAGCACAGGAAAGGAAAAGATGGAGCACTGTTGATGCGTACTGAAGAGGAAGTATTCCGATTGTTCAAGAACATTTACATTTTTGATATTATTGCAATAGCAAGCAGCGAAGTTTTGAAAGATGGAAGCATGTGATGAGAAATAGTTCTGGTTTGAATTAAAAAGTTTCAGTTTACAATTATTACGTCATCAGAGCTCTGCGCAGGCCATAGAATGATCTAGAAATGACACAATCCAGAGAAGTTATTGTGATTTTTAGAATAGAGAAGGAAAATGAAAGTTTTACTGTTAGTTTAAACTATAATTTTGATTCACATATTTTTTATCTTACACATTCCCCCCCCCCTTCAAAGAAAAAAAGACGTGGCGACAGAAAAGCCTTTTTAGAAGAAAGCATTACAGAATTAGCAAAACTAGGTAAATACAAGAGTGAGAAAAATCACAAAATTTTGATATAAATAATTTTTTAAAGTATAAAAACCTTACAGATATCATTTTTAGCAATATATTCAAATTGAAAATTAAAAGTTTTTAAGTTCATCGTAAAAATTGTCCTAATATTTCTCAAGAAAGTTCACAGTTCTGTAAAATCTTTGCTTAAACATTAATCATAATCAATATTTTGCAGTCCTTAACTTGAAAGTCTTTTATAAAAATTTATCTTGCCAATATAAAACCAAAATTTTCTTTTGCAGATTCACGAAATTTGAATTGATTCCTTTTGATATAATCCACATTTTCTTAATTGTAAAGCAATGCTGCGGGACGCTTAAATACATATACACATAGAAACCTCCGTTCCTTAATAAAGGTAACTAGCTTCTAGTATTGTATAATTATCAAAGTTTATAACTATAAAAAATCTTCAAACTAGTTAATTGAAATGGAAAATATATACAAAATTAAAGATATAATTAAATCCTACACTGCCCCACAATAATAATATGGACCATATAATTTTGTGAATATAAAATAAGAAAATAAATTTCATAATCATATCTTTTTGGGGAAGGCAATAAAAAAATTTCAAACACATGCATTAACATTACAAAATCGCACAAATTTCAAAATTTTATAATGTAATTAAATTTTAATTTGAAATAATATACTATCATTACCGAAATTTTTAATTGACTTATTTTTCACAAACTGGAAGACCCCACAGCTTTCCCCTAGTACATACTTTCAGCTATTTGGGCAGTTACTTGGAAAGGCCTCCGTTCCTTTTATAAGGTAACTGGCCTTTGTGAACTGCGTTACAACACTGCATTTATATATATATTAAAAAAAATTAACCACACTCCATTATATTAAAATATATATATAAGTGGGAATCTTTAAAGTTTATCTAACCATATTATGATCCATAAATTTTAAAATCAATTAACATAGTTCCATACTACTTATGATTCCTATAATACTACTCAAAAACACTATTTGTTTATCATATTTTATACTGTTGTTTTTCATAAGTATTTCATGTACTTAAAAATTCTCGTCAACAATTCCACATAAATTCAAAAATGCAATTATTTACCTTCATATGCTTCCCTATAAATACTTTAAACAACTTAAAATTCGTTACTTAATTTCTCACACATACTTATGAAAAATTAGAAAAATTAATGAACAAGAATTTCACATTTTCGCAAAACAGCCTAATCAAATTGCAGAAATTTTAACCAAAATTGAAATGAAAAGTATGGAATCTGCAGCATATTAAATAATTTTGTCTTAAGTTCACACAAAGATAACTTTCGAGCTGTCGATTGGCGAAGTACTACCAGAAGCACAATTAATTTTCTGTTGCACATACTTGCAAACACAAACTCAGATCGACCTTGAACCCACTGTAATGCTGAAATCCTAAACGGTAATTCACTGATGATTTAAAGCACTTTTTTTTTTTTTTCCTTCTAAATATTGTAGAGACTCGCGAAGCAAATTTAATATTCCTTTTCACTAGGTGTTTGAACTTCTCAATTTATTGAGAAATTACTTTCAATCTGTAAACACTATTTGTGATTATTTTTTTGAAGCACTTGCAAAATACCACAGCAGAAGGATGATCGGCTATTTTTTAAACACTGAAAAAAAACAAATTTGATGATTCACTTCTTTCACATTACCTTGGATTTATCACAAAACGATGATTTGAAGAGCTGAACTAAATTTTCCATCGAGGTCTCAGGCTGCTGGAAACTAACCTGACCGACTAATTGATATAATAAAAGCTCAGGAAAGGTAACGATGAAGCACTGTTGATGCATAGTTTATCCTACATTGAAGAGGAAGTATTATGATTGCGTCGTAAGCTAATGTGTTAAATAAAACTTGGCAGTCGAGGCGATTGTAATTCCATTTTTATTTCCAATTGACATTATGTGGCCACAGATCACTTGGCACCCTAGTCATGCCTGTTCAAGAACATTTACATTTTCGATATTATTGTAATAGCAAGCAGATTAGCGAAAATACATCCAAGGAAAGCAAAGACAGAGGCCGAAGTGCGTAGTTTTGAATGATGGAAGCACACGAAGAGAAAAAGTTCTGGTTTGAATTAAAAAGTTTCAGTTTACAATTATTACATCATCAGAGCTGCGCAGGGCATAGAATGATCTAGAAATAACACAATCCAGAGAAGTTATTGAGATTTTTAGAATAGAGAAGGAGAATGCAAGTTTTACCGTTAGTTTAAATTATAATTGTGATTCACATATTTTCTATCTTACATATATATATATGCTAACTTCTATAACACTCTAATTGTCTGGTAATGTATTTTCATGTCATTTTATACCTTACTATATGTTGTATACTTGATGGCCAGTTTTATTAAATTCTACAATTTAATTCATTTCTGAGCATTTAAGATTATACCTCCAAGAAAATATGTTTAAGGAAATATAAACATTTTCAGATGAAAGGGGTACTATAGATTTTCATTCTGATGTTTTTAAAGCATGTTTATTTTTACACTCAAAATTCTGCTCTCCAAATCTAGAAATGTTATCACTTTCAAAATTTTATCTCAACTACTTTAAAATAGCTTAACTGCTATATAAAGTAGTTGGAAGAGTAAATTAATAAAATAAATGTAATTCATGCAAATTAATATAATAAATTAAATCATGCTAAATAATATGTTTTCTTTTTCAAAGAAGAATTGAACTATCAACAATTTATATTAACACTAAGTTATTTTATCCAAACAGTATAATTTTAAATTTTCAACGATAGATGACAGAAGCAGATTATGGTTCAGAAATGCTTTCATGCTAAGGTTTAAAGTCACAACTGAAAAAGTGACTTCACATTACATATATAATATATTAAAACAAAAAAATCAAAATCCTACAAATATATTCAGAAAGCAATCAGAATTTTCAAGCCGAGGTTCAACACTTTTCTGTGTTAAATTAAAAATTTTTAAGCTATAATTTCATCATAAATACTCTGGATATGATGAAAGATTTTCCTTCTCTAACTACATATTTATATACAAAAATTTATCTCGACGGATTTGGTATGAATTAAAACAGTTGACTTCTTACCAATGCTGTTGCTAATCGCAAAATTCCCAACATGTTTCTTGCAGAAGTAAAAGTCATGTCTTGACTATTACGAGCTTCTTTCCTGATTTCAACATATGCACTGACGATATAATCAGTCAGATCTTCAGGAATGATGGGAGAAATATTTCGGCAATATGTAACATATCTTCTTAACAAATTCATTGGCATAGGCTGAAAGTTTGTTTGTGGCTCTTTACAATGCATGTGGACCTGAGTAATATGATCAGCTAACCTGAAACCATCAATAAATAAGGGAATGAAATTCAATGTTTTCTTTACCAGGAATAGCTATAAATAATTTAATTATCAGTTAGTAATAAAACAACTTTTACTTAGGTTAAAAGAATCATTTGATAAACACAAATGAAGGCTGGAAATTACAGCAATATACAATTTTAACATTTTAAGTGAACAGAGTTGAAAAAAAATTTCATTACAATGAAGTTCTTGAAAACACAAAAATTCTATACATGGTGTCTGAATAAGTGATTTCTTCATTGTAAGAACTCTGAAGATTGAGATTTAAATACCTGCGATCAGTGTCTTTGTCTGGTTTATCCTGAATAAGCCAAAGCAAATCAAAACGGGACAATAATGCAGCAGGTAGCTGAATGTTCTGTTCAAGACTCCTCTTAGGATTGTATCGCCCATAAGCTGGATTTGCTGCAGCTAAGATGGATACTCGAGCATTTAATGTTGTCAGGATACCAGCCTATAAGAAAGACAATTATTACTCATATAATAATAAAATATTATTGAAGGAAAGATATCATACAAAAAAATGAAGATACATTTTCGATGAACTATAAATATACACACAATTGTTTACAGTCAAAGACAAAAGACAACTAGTTTCAAGCAAAACATATCAATGAAAGAACATTTACTAATCTTGCAGAGCAAGTCAGTCAATATACACATATACATGTGTGTATACAGTCAAAAGTCGTTAATTCGGACACCCATAATCCGGAATGATCTATAATCCGGACCTCAAAACTACAAACTTTCTGCGCATGCATCGCGTTCACGCATGCGCACAGACGTTTACGAGAGCGCGTAAGACCCTTACGGCTGCGAATATGTTTGTGCGCATGCGCGTTTAATGTGTAACGGAGTTATACGCTAAGCTAAAGTTATCTAATTCAGTTAATGTTTGCAGATTGCGTGTTTCCTTAATCTTCGAAATGGATCCGGCTTATTATTTTTTGCAGACTGTTAGAGCAATTTATAAAAGTAAGCTTGAACTTTTGATTATGTCAAATAGAATTTCCGATACATATTTACTACAAAGCGAAAGTATGTTTTGAAATCCGAAATCTGTTTATCAATTTCACGCTGCTCTGCGGCAGAGGGGGGGGCAGAAACGTCATTATTAGATTATGATAGATTAGAAAGATTATGTCAAATAGAATTTCCGATATATATTTACTAATATGTAATTTGTATCTACAAAGCGAAAGTATGTTTTGAAATCCGAAATCTGTTTATCAATTTCACGAGGCCGATTGGAAGTTGATCTGTCAGCACTATCCTTATCTTCAGGGCAGATGTTTTTATTTTATTTGGTTTATAATAATCCGTACTAAGTGTAGTATTTCATTTCGATGTACTCTGTCTTTGATATGATTTAAATCAAGTTCCTCGTCATTATAATTCAATTCGCTTCCGATAGTGAAGAAAGTGACCCAGAGGTTATTGAAAACGAAAACATTTCGATTGACAAATTAGTCGGTATTCTCAACACAGCAATTATAGGACTTGAACAGCAGCGGAACTTTGTAACTAAACAAGAAATTATGTCTGTTTAATAGAATTAAAGAGAAAGTATTATCACATGAAACGAAGCAACTTACATTGAAAGAAATGTTTAATAAAGTAAACAAATAAATATTAAGCTTTTTCTTTTTGTAAATTTTGATACCCTTTAGATCATAATTGTTCTTTATTTCATAAATTACAGTTTCATATTTTTAATTTTGTAATTTCTGCATGCCATCTTACCAGATTTAAACTGATGATCTATAATCCGGAATCGCCAAAGTCCCGACGAGTCCGGATTAACGACTTTTGACTGTATATGAATATTCAAGTAATGGATATATATAAAATTTTTCTGCAAAATACACTGTTTCACACCTATAAAGAAATGGTATTTGGATATTACTCCTGCAATAAAGTGAACTACCAATGCCTCTATAAGACTAACTAGTTCAGAATAGTTATCATTAATTTTGTAAAGTGTCTTTAGAAATAAATTATTTTATTAAATATAACTTAATTGCAAATTTATTTTGTCGTTTTTAGAACAATATACTTTAAATGCTACAGTTTTTCAAACACTATTCTTATATAAATAATAAAATATTTAATACAATTACAATTATAAAATTTCATCTAAAATTAACATACTTACACATACCCTTATAAACTATTTTTGAGAAATAGAAATAAATAGACATTGTCATAATAAAAGTGGGATTTAGTACCAGTAATGGATAGCATTAGGCACAACACACCCATTAGTTTTGGTTTTATGTAATGCTGACCCTTAATAAGCCAGTTTAATTCTTTTGGGGAGAGGAGGAAAAGAATTTAAGTAAACTGCTGATTCTTTGTTTTGCTCTATTGCCTTCTACAGAACAGTAAGCATGGAGTATTTTTAAAGTTACGGTTCTGGATATACTCAAAACATTGCATGAAGAGGAGCAGTTAAAAACAAGTGACATCACTCATTCGCATTTAAGAGAATTTATGTGGCACTGACTTTACTAAGAAGACAGCATTTTGTTTTTATTTCACATGCTATTAGGGATTTTGTCTATTGGAATGGCTGGTACAAATTTTGCAAAGCCTGAGCCCATATTTATTTGTTTTTATATGCTACATTTATAACTTGTATTTGTTGATTATGTAATTAAATAAAGAGGTATATTTTCTTCAAACTTCTGCTAAACTAATTGCCACAAGTTTGACTGGATCTGTGCCAACTTTTAGGGTCGACAGAAAGAAATGTTAAGTACAAAAATTAATCTTAATTATGCACAACATATATACTTTCATTTTTCATAACAACTGTTTATGATAACTGAGATTTGACAGAATTATGTAAATTAGTAACAGGAATTATATTTATTATGTATTATGTGAATTAGCTGTTTTTAATACAGAAATATTGGAATAATTAATGTTACAAAGCATTCAATAACTTGATTTCAGAAGACTGAAGAAAGAAAAAAAAAAAAAAAAAAAAAAAAAAAAAACACCAGTAATTTTTTTTTTTTTTTTTTTAAATTTTCCAGCATTAATATTTGCAGTACAGAAGCAAATTAGATAATGAACATACATGCTAAAAAAAGTGAAAAACAGAATTAAAAAAAAAAATAGCAGACCTTTGCAATTGAAATTGTCTGTTGCTCCATAACTTCATGAATGGCCGTTCTGTCAGAATCCATCATTTTATCAAATTCATCAATACAGCAAACACCTTTATCTGCAAGAACCAGAGCCCCACCTTCTAAAGCCATTTCACCAGTTACTGGATCTTTCATAACAGATGCTGTTAAACCAACACCAGAAGAACCCCTTCCAGTCGTATACTGACCTGAAAATAGATTTTTCTTTTAATTTTATAAATATACAGTATGCTTTATTCTATTTAATATAAGTATTATTCCTTCATTAATCCATTTCTTTTATCAGATATGGTGGCTCACATTGTTTTTCAGACACTTGAGTTTTTCAGTTTTATTTGCAAGTTATTAAATGACTTTTCTTATCATATATATTATCCCCTATTTTGAAACCTTTCTATTTTAAATCTATTTTGAAACCTGCAATCATCCATTTTAAAATCTGCTTGTTTTGAAAAAATATTATTCAGAATGTTTTTCATGAAAAAAAAATAATTTATTCAAAAAGTTCTGGAAATACCATATAAGTATTCAAACACTTTGAATAAACAGTTCATATTTAATAAAAATCTGAAAATAATGGGATATTCAATATTTCGTTGGATATCCTTTATCAAAGATTATCCTTTTTATGCACTTTAGCACAGATTCAACTAATTCTTTCATGTAAGAATATTCTATTTGTTCCATTCTTACATAAGAGCTGCTTTTAGTACAGCTTTCAAAAAAATATATTTCCTTTGTATTAGAGCTTTCAAATAAGTATAATGCTTCTTCAACCCCACTATATTTCACAGGATTTATATACATATATTTTAATCGTCATATTTTATTCAGCAACAAACTCAGGTATGGAAAAACACTTCTTGCACTGATCTCCCTTTTCTTAACATGTAGTACATAAAATTTTAATTTTGTACATTTATTAAAAATTATGGCCAAAATTATTATAATACATAAGCCTTGTTTGATTTTATTAATTTCTAAAACTGGAACCACTGGTCTATAAGTAGTCATTAAAGAAATTTACTCATGCTGTCTTTCATAAACTATTCATACATCCTCATGTAAGTATACATATCTATTTATCATTCTCTCTCTATATATATATGTGTGTATATATATATATATATATATACACATATATATATATATATATACACACATATATATATATATATATATATATAACCTAATTCAGCTGTGCAAAAGCAGCAAAAAGCAGTGGTAATAATTACTTTGTTTTTATGAGATTATTTTGTGTCTTTATTGATTTAGTAACAGGCTGATTTATTTACTTCTTTCCTTCCACCAAACTCCTAATGATGAGGCAGCAAAAGATGTAAATTTCTTATTTCATGTTTTTTTAACATATTTTGCCTCCTCTGCCCAGCAATTTGACACAATGCTTCTCATATTTGGTTTTTACTTATGTTTATTCCGAATTAAATATAGGATGAATTTTAAACATATTATTTTAAAATTTATTTGAAACCCTTGCATAACAGGTTAATTAATCTCTGGAAAATGAGACATGTTAAATGAAACTGTGTTGACCCTATGTACGAAATATAGTGGAACTGCTCACCTGTTTCTTACCATTAAATTACATTTCTCTTTAATTACTTATATAAAATTAAAATTAAATAAAATAATTTAATTTTTTTATTATATAAATAAAATTTAATCTATTCTTTTTTCTCCTTTACAGAAAATCATTTAAGCAGTTAGAACACACTTTTGTTTTCTCTTCTCTTCATACTTTTCCAAAGCATTTCAACTCACTGTCAATCACATGGTGAACTTGGAACACTTCTCTCCAGATTTGAAAATTGTGAGGGGGGAGCATGCAGTGTATACTATATCTGAAGAGACAATAGCATTTTATGTATTAGTATTTCAAAGGATTTATTTCAATAATATTCCTTTTATGTAAAGAAAATATTCCCCTATTTCTTTTTATGTACAGAAACTATTTCCCTACTTGTGCAGATATTTTACACCTAATACCACAAATCAGAATATTCTAAATCAAACGCTGAAAAAACTTAAGGGAGAGAAATATACTACTATATATTTACACATTTAAACATATTTTTTTAAAAACTGAATTGCCAAGAACAACACAGTAAAAGACACAACCAAACATCAGGTGGTTCATTCTGGGACCACTTTATTACAAATGGTTTTGAACAACCCCTGCTTAATATCAAAAACTATATTACAGTAAGTAATGTTACAACAAAGAAATACCATACATTCACACAGAAAAAGAAGAAAAGTATTTAAAAGCTTTAAATTTATATCTACATACAAATTGTTTATCTAAAAGTAAAAAATATTTTTTTTTCATCTGGATACTTACTTCTTGGTGCTAAACGATCAATATATGACAAAAGCTGTGATTTTGCAACACCAGGATCACCCATTAGACAGATGTTAATGTTGCCTAAAAGTAGAAAAATCCAAAAAAAGTATTTTAAAATTTATTTTACAGAATAATATACAGTCATTAACAAATATTCACTTTTAAATTTATAATCTTAAAATCATTTACCTCGAATTTTCATTCCATTTGGGTTCCTATCGACACCACCAACTAATAGTAATAAAAGAGCCTTCTTGACATCCTCATGTCCAAAAATTTCGGGAGCAATACTACTTGCCATTTGATCATAATTATGAGTACCTAAAGAAAAGGGGAAAAACTGAGGGATAGAAAATGCAGTTGACTATAAAATACTTAAAATCCATACAGAAACCATTAGTATGAAAATGCTAATGTTTTATTAAAATTTACTGAACTAAGTTAAATAAAAATTCATAGTTGCAAAATTCAAATTAACTTTCTATCACTTTTAAACTATCAGTATCTTCTAACACAGAGGTCAGCAACCTTGTAGCTTTGGTATGCTAAGCCAATCTACCAATATAATTCAGGGTGCTGCACAGTAAGAAATATTTTGATACAATTCGAATTCCGCAACAACGCATGCAAAGTTAGGGAATAGAGATCAAGAATACAGATTTAGAGTTTTATTATAAATTAATTATGCATCATTTAAAGGTAATTATTAATATAAAATAAACGAAATAAAATATGACTATTCAACATAACTAAAAAATTTAAATTATACATATATTATGTTCTATGTAACTTTTAAATATATTTATTAAAATAAAAAATAAACAACATACAATTACAACATAAAAACAAAACGCACATCATTCACTTCAGTATTTTCATCAAGAGCAAAGCTAAATGCAAAAGTTTCTTGCAATCCAGAATTATGTTTTATTGTAGTATTTTTTGCTATTTCAGTTATTCGTCTTTCAATAGTTCATGCTGAGGCCGATATTTCTTGAATTCGGAGTAATATTATTATTTGTAGATTTGGTAAATCGCTGAACAATATTTCAACACTTTTTTAAAATGTCCTTTAATATATCCACCATCTGTGAAAGTTTTGCCTTTGGCACACAATGAGCAATTACAAAATTACATTTGTCGTTTTGGATTTGGTTCCAATTGTTTGGCAAAAAATGTAACTTGTTTCTCATATCCAGAAACAGCTCTTTATAACTTCAAGTTTCTCATCGGAATTCTAAATTATGGACTGATGTGTAGTTTGAAAATGTCTTTGTATACTTAATATGCAACATATGACGCTTTGCGACATAACACACATACAACACCCTTTTTTTTTTATGAGTCAATATATATTCATTCATGCAATAGCCTTGAAAACTGGGAACATCAGGCTTTCTTTTTTTAGTGGACATTTCATCATTAAATAATAGATATCACTTTTAAATATAAAACACTATTAAGTAAGTAGATATGAATTTCCACAATAATTAAAAAAACAAGTTTTCACAATAAAATTAAGAACATGTTGTAAAGTTAAGAGCAACCTATTCCACACGACGTGCATTGATTAAAATCATGCTCGATACTTGCGCATCAGCACAACAAACTGAACAAAAGGCAAGAATGCATGAGGTGTGAGGTGGGTCAGTATAGAGAGAAGAGACAAAGCACTGTATCTTTATATAACTTTGTGGAGGGATATAGAGTGCCACTGAGTACGATACTGTGCGCCAAATCTGACATATGTGCCATAGGTTGCCAAGGACTGTTCTAACATGATTTAAAAAAATAGTTATAATTAGTAATTGTTTTCCCAGTTTTAATAGAAATATATTTTTATCCAAGAGTTAGATAATTTACATTAGAAAATAATTTTTTGATTATTTTCATTCAGAAGTATTATAAATTGTTAAAAACTGTGTTTTTACCAGATTTTAAGAGCATAATGATATCATTAATTTTGACTCTTGCATTATATAGTGCACTAATTTTTAATTTTACAAAAGCTACTGCTACACATAACTTTGAACCATTTACAAATAATTCTAAGAATTTTAAACTTATTTGTTGTGAATTTTATAACAGTCAACTTTCTACAGTTGTGAATTTTATAACAGTCAACTTTTATAACAGTCAACTTTCTTAACAAATATCGTTACATTTCTGATTATCGACACCCACCTGAAAAGTCATGAAAAATATTCATAACGAAAAGCAGTAAATCACGTTATATAACAGCCCATAATGTCATCAAAAAGTATTTATGTAACAACTTAAGTATGTGTGTAGCACATGTCTGTTTCGGCCAGTGCTCAATGCCATAGTTACACGATGCCAAGTTTGTGAGATTCTTTAATGTTTTTTAAACAAAAAAAGATTGCTATGTATGTAGGGAAAACAACAGTGCACAAAAAAAAAAAAAGGATTTATTGAAAAGCTAAGTGTTCTATTACTAAAGTTTTTTACTTTTCCAATTTTCTTGACTGATAGTTCTTGTATGGAATTCTTAGTGTGCCGCTATTTTGAAAATGATTTTTACTTTTTACATATTAGTTTGAAAAGTTAATCGCCAACAAGTTTGACAATGCACCCCAAAGTTGGCAGTGAGATCCTGACTTTTTGGTGGGAGGTGCAGAAAATCAAAAAATATTCAAACATCTGCAGTATAAACAATTGTGAAAGCAAAAACAAATTAATATAAAATAATGTATATGACAATCCAAATTCATATTGATACTTGCGAGTAACTCAAAAAATATAAATTATTCTACAGTGACTCACTAAGAATTGCTTCAGCTTCTTCCTGAGTCATATCTTGCTCATTTAATTCATCATCTTCAGTTTTGTTCATTTTCACAATTCGCTAAACATAAAATTACTATCATATTTCATATAATAACTAAATATATACATATTTAAAGCAAATCTATCCAATAAAACAATGTTAAGTCATAAATAAAGTACACAGTTAAAGTTTACAGAATGAAAAATGAATTGCCTCAGCACACTTCCTTTTAAAATAGAATGCAAATAGTTTTTTAATTATAACCAATTTGATTAATAATATCTTTTGACTAATGTTTACTTTAATTAACTTCAAAATGCTACACAATCATAAACATCAGACACTGACAGATCACAAACACATTATTCTAAACATATGAGTCTCTCTAAGTCAAAGGTTTTCAACCCCCCTTTTTTTTTGCTCCATGCACCCCTTTCATCACTGCTAGATGATCATTCCCCTCCTCCATTCCAAAACTTGAAAAACACATAAATACGAGGGCTATCCAGAAAGTAGATTACGTTTTGGAATAAAAAAATAAACAAAGTATAGGAAACAAATTTTATTATATACAGATGAAAGCCACACTCAAATACTACTTTTCTACAACATAGTCACCATACAAATTAAGGCATTTATCGTAGCGATGTACGAGCTTGGAAATTCCTTCGTCGAAAAATTCGGCTGCCTGCGCCTTCAACCACTTTCGTTCGTACCTCTTCTTGCAGCTGTGCGTCGTCATCAAAACGCTGCATAGCCAGCCACTTCTTCATTGCTGGGAATAGGTGGAAGTCGCTCGGTGCCAGGTCGGGACTGTACGGCGGATGAGGAAACAACTCCCACTTAAAAGATTCAAGAACTTTACAAGTGACATTTGCCGTGTGGGGCCGGGCGTTGTCGTGAATCAACAAGATCTTAGAGCTCAACATTCCTCTGGCGCTTGTTTTGAATTGCTCTTCTGAGTTTTTGGAGAGTTTGGCAATACCTTTGAGAGTTTATTGTAGTGCCTCTTTCCAGGAAGTCCACCAAAATTAAACCTTTTCTGTCCCAAAAAACAGTCGCCATCATCTTCCTTGCCGACATTGTTTGCATGCATTTCTTGGGTTTTTTTGGGGAGAACTTGTGTGCCCCCACTGCATTGATTGCAATTTCGTTTCACAGTTCACATGTTTCACCCATGTTTTCGTCACCAGTAACGATGCGATCGAGTAAAGAGTCACCATCCTTATGGTAAGCGTCCAAAAAGTTCAACGCTGCAGCCATTCGCTGATTTTTGTGGTCCTCTGTCAAGATTTTTGGAATCCATCTTGCACAAAACTTGTGGTAACCAAGCTTTTCGCTGATGATTTCGTGCAACAAACTTCGCGAAATTTGTGGAAAATTCAAAGAAAGTTCCGTTATTGTGAAATTTCGATTTTCACGGACTTTAGCATCGACTTTTTTTCGAGAAGTTCGGCGGTCACTATGCTGGGTCTCCCACTTCGATCTTGTCGGTGAACATTGGTTCGGCCATTTTTGAAGTCTTATATGACCCACTGACGCACTCCACCTTCAGTGATAATGTTGTCCCCATACACTTCACGAAGCTGCCGACAGATTTCTATCGGTTTACAGTTTTTTGCAGTCAGAAACCTTATTACTGAGCGCAGCTCGCGGGATTTTCAATTAACGCAGACATTTCAAACCGTCACAATATCTGAACGGAGCACAGCACGAACCTCTCACTAGCACGGCTAGATGCAGACTGAGCTGCGCAACGCTCTGACCCCAAGATGGCTGCGCTAGCCCCGCCCCTAGCGGACACAGACGGAAACGTAATCTACTTCCTGGATGGCCCTCGTATTTATTTAATTTTAGATTTATTTTTTAATGTGTTTTATAAATTAAACAAGAAAATGTACAGAAATCATTAATAAATACCAACACTTGAAATTAAGTAGTTTCTACATTCAGAAAATAAAATTAAATAGTTAACAGGCAAATAAAAGACTGACCACATTTTCCACCTGATTGCCCCTGCTCTAGATGGGCTGTATGCTACAAATTTCAAAAGTAACAGCAAAAAATATTAAATTTAGTGATTTAGAATAATTATAAAATTAGTAATGTCCCATAGGTGATATAAGATATAATAAAATGTTACCATTATTTCTCTTCAAATAAAAACAGCAATTTAACAGGTATCACCTTTTTTAAGATATGCAATATTTTCCAAAAGACATAATAAAAGAACATGGTAAATAACAAACATTACAGCATTTGTTTTAAACAGAAAATTTATTTAAAATTCACAAATCTTCTAGAGTTGTTTTATTATAAAAACCTGCAGTTCTACGATATTACGAAAGATGAAAAGAAATTTCAAGTAATATTTACTTCATTTACATTCAGCAGAGCTTTATAAAATTTTGCATTACACCGGCTGATAGCTGCCCAAATGGAATAGTACATAGTGACACTGAATGTCATATTGAAGAATCTAGGTTAAAATCCAGAAAAAAGCATGCATGTTGGTAAGTATGTAATGTCTGTGTGGCAAAGGGGAATTCAAAATACACAGCAAGCCGGTATCCTCTCGGGAGGTTAGATAATATAAAAAAGAGGGTGGGAGCCGTCCTACATCCCCCTGAAGCTGTTTTCAGCATTCCATCCAAATCAGAAATTTAGCAAGGCCTGGCAATACCTTATATGCCTACTTGGATGCACAGGTGCCAGGCTTGCTTCAACCTGTATATATTATACTGGCTGATAGGCTTGCAAACAACATTTTATCTTTTTCTTAAAACCAAAATTATCAGAGAGAATAAAAGATTACATTGTAAGGTTAAATCTTGTAACACTTTAGTTAATAAGCACTAGTTTAACCTTCCTAAACTGCAGAAAACTTTTGCCTTGCCTTAGAATTCAAGAGCACAAATTAAATATCCTAAAGGAAAAGTAACCAATTTTGTACTTCCTGCTGGAAAATACAAAAATGAAATGTTAACAAAACAAAACAAAAAAAAAAAAAAAAAAAAAAAAAAAAAAAAAAAAAATTGCTTAAGGGCTGAGAAGACAATACTTTTAGTATTTACAAGGCAGGCAGTAGATTAGAGAATTAACAACCTAGCTAGCTCCAACTTAAGAAGCTTTTAAGCATGATCCTAGCGCAAGAAAGAATGTGCCAAAAAAACAGCATAACTGCTGACAAGTGAAATATGAAAGTTATAGTACTATTGTTATATTGTCAACATTTCACACCTAACATATATACTTGTTATTTGAATTCACCCAATTTGCATTTCTAATAGAGCTGGCGGAAAAAAAAAATAGAAGCACAAGAAAGATTCAATGCAAAAATAGCATTTTCATTAAAATAAACTTTACAAAATCACTCTAAAATATGGAAATGCACATTCAAAATTATATAGAATTTAAACTTACATGTGCTTCAAGATATGTATCTGCAAGTAACCCTTGAGCTATTTGTCTAAATCCAGTTCGAACAATAGGCAAAAATATTCCTGTGATGCTAACATGATCACCAGGAAGCACCAATCGTGTCATTTCACCCTTAGTATGAATAGTCATAGAACGGGGAATGTTACCCTCGGGCACTTGTTCACTCTGTAAGCACGTATATATACAGGAATATATTAAACTAGCAATTAAAACAAATATTAAATAAACATGAAGAAATATATAACTATATAATTTCTCTTTTAATTATTTCAATTTAAGTTTCATTGATAAAACCTTTTAATCCTAACTTAGTTCTGAGCTTAAAAGATAATTTGTTCATTAACAAACCAGGAGTCAGTTCATGTCATAGTATCATTCTCCAACATACTAACCTGCTAAAATAGTTACTCAAAGAAGCCTTGTAAATAGGAGAAATTTTAAAGGCAGATCAAAATATCTCTGAAAAAATTAAAATAGCAATAATAAAATTTAGCACTTGTTATATTTAGGAGACAACATACATCTAAGTTTTGTGAACGAACCAATAAATAGCTGAGAATTACAAAAGCAATATACAAATAACTGCACAACACAGTAGGATCCTATTTCTTCACAAAAATAGTGCAATAGGGGGGGGGGGAACTGAATGCTCTCAAAGGGGCTTTTTTTAATGTTTTTCACAGTAAACCATAAAATTCAGTTCAACAGCAATACCGCAAAATAGTTTTAAAATGATCATATCTTTAGAATTTCCAATACGCAGTGTTACACGGTGGAGATAAAAATGTTTTTTTCTGTACAACGTGCCATGGCTCGCTTTGAAATTCTTGAGTTTGTTAATCGAAAATTCGTTAAAGTTTTACAAAATATGACATCGATAATAAAACAAATTCCAAATTCAAATTAGGGCTTCCACATGCCCATATTCTATAGAAGATTACGTTGTTCAAATTTTGATGACTCTAGGTACCGTTGTTGTATCACAATGCGAAAAGCATACATACATTTCTGCAGATTCCTTCATTATTTAATTTCTTTAAATATAATACAGTGCGGCAATATTTGGTGACAACAATTTGAAAAGTGAATCAATGCTTATAGTGAATCAACACAAAATGTCAAAATGAAATTAATAGTCCTTTTGGGCAAATTGCCCCTTTGGACAAATAAAGTGAAAAAATTATTAAAACAAAAAAGAAAAGTTTCATTTCAATCTCATGAAAACTTGGGAAAAAATCCGCGCAGTGAAACAAAAGGTAATTAACTAAGATAATTTTTAATTCAGCCTTTCAAAAGAAGGGCAAATTTGAATACTTTTCAGTTTGATTAATAGAGACTTCATCTGAATAAAACACAGTGTTAGAAATGACTCCTGCCATGAATGAAAACATTTTTTTAATACTGCATTTGTATTTTCACCATTCACCAATTATTACTGATATAAGCTCATAATCTTTCTGGTACATAATGTAGTATTCAAATGAATGCAAAAATATGAATACTGCATTATGTACCAGAAAGATTATGAATAATAATTGATCAATAGTAGGAATTCTACTTTAGTCAGTGTTTGTACCTATAACTGGGACAGCTTAATTACAGGGCTATTCGTGATTAAGTGGGCGGGCTGCTCCCCACAAACAAACAAACTGTATGATGTTCTGAAACTTCATTGAAATTTCACACACATACATGCAAATACAGAATAAGTAAATAAACAAACAATAAAATTTTATGCATAAAACATAATTTACCACTTTTAATATTGATAATGATAAAAATTTTAAATAAATAAATTTTTCCAAATTTTTATGTGTATAAAAACTTAAACTTTTAACTGGAAGAAGCAAACATATAATTTTTTTAATTAATGTATAGTTTAACTAATTATTTATTAAAATGCTTTGCTTAATAATATACTAATTTCTCTTTGAATACATTATAAAGCAATAAATTTATATACCCAAAGGTATTGTTTTATATTATACTAATATTTAAAAAGGAATTTATTTTAGATATCAGTGCAATGTAACACAAACTCATTTAAAGTAAAATAAGAACTTACATATTCTTGAATCTTTATTTCTTGAAACTTAATAAATTTAGAGCCACGGGCTTGTAAATACAATCTGCCAGCTGATTTATTAACTCTGCAAGCTTCACTGTTGCACATTATCAGAGGCATAAATGCTAAAGAATTTACCTGCAAGAAAATAAGCAATACTTATAAACAAACTAAAATTACTCTTATTACTCCAACTATGGCATAAAAGGGTTATAAAAATTGTGCTTGAGAACTACTGCCTCAGAATTATAATAAATGAATAATAATTAAAAGGTGATTTAAAATAGAGCCTTACAAATAGGGTTGCCAAGGTTCTTCCACAGAGGAAAAAACTATAGAAAAAACCTCGGGAAAATAACAAATCAGAAGTAATTAATTTTTTAACTTGAAAGAAACTATTTACATTATTTGTATACTTAGATTAGCTTTAGACTTTTAAAACTAAATCTCAGTTCATCTCAATGACAAAAACTGCAAAATAACATAATTAGTTAGAAATAGAAAATAAATTTTTAAAAAAATATTATAAAACTGAATCTACATCTGTGTACAAATGATCTAACAAAACAGAAAAATTTTTATTATTGCATATAGTAACCCATTTCAAAATTTTAAATCTATAAATTCAAAACAAGAGAAAATTTGTTCTAATCCTGAACTTTCACCTCAACTATATAATACAGTTCATATGAAATTTTATAAATGGCATTCTTTTCTACCATACAAGATTTAGTGTATTGCAAATGGCATCACTGTAAAGTAAGATTTTTGAAATGGTGTGTTCTCGGCGGGATTAGCAAATTGCTTTCATAGTTTCAAAAATTGTCTAGAGAAAAGATGACTTCTTTTTACTTATTTCATTTTAATATATTCATATTTTATTTATGTGCAACATGACTGTCAAATCAATTTAAACAGTTTTCTGATATGGGATGCTTTAAGAAAATTATTCATCGCGCATTTTGTGGTAAAAATGATAAAATAGGTTTAAATTTTCTTCCCAACTGCATCAATATTAATTTCTTCCAGCTTCTTTCCTCTTCTGGTTTTTTTTTTTTTTTTATTTTATTTTTAAAGAAAACCAATACTGCCCAGAAAGCTCCATGCATCAAATTCATATAAACAATATAAACAATAAAACATGGTTTTACAGTAGAACAGCATAGCTTCTGTATAAATAATGAACAAAATGGATAATGATATTAATGCTGAAAATATGTTTTATGCAATGTAAATTACGACTTAAATTTTTTTTTTTTTTAAAAAGAACTTCCTCGCTTAAAAAACAATTAAAAGCTTTAACCACATTATAAACAGAATGTATATAAAATATTAATTTAATTTAAAAAATATAACTCACAGGTTGATATGTTTCAGATCCACACTGATCACATGTGTAAGTTCCAACTACCAACATGGGCTTAACTTCTGTACACCTAGTCACAATGCCTCTTACAGCGACAAGTTTTCCTATGTGTTCAGCCTTTACATCTCGAACAGAAAGATGCTTCTGTGTTTCTCGATTTTTAAAATACACTTCACTGAAAATAAAATTAATTTTATAATTTATGATTAATAAGAGATAAATTCTGATTATAACAATAAACTAAAAATAGATATTACAAAGCATGACATGGGGAAAAAATCCTTTTATACGTATTAAAATATTAATGACCCTTAAGAACATTCAAGAAGAAATAAATTTTGAAGAATTAAGGTTAGTATAACATTAGACCAACAGAAAGGAAATGCAATTACCTAATTTTTCCAATAATGCAATTATACAGGATCTATAGCTAAATATGGATAGTGAATGATAGCTACAAATTTTAAAGGTTTTCGGATATTGCAAAACAAAAGATGAAATTTTCCAATTAAAGAATTTTGTAATAAATGGTGGAGAAGCGGTAATAAATGAGGATGATATAAAAGAAGTTTTTCATTGTGATGACAATATTCCTCAAACATCAATCAATTAATAGATGGCAAAATCTGTAGTATGGTTCTAGAACCAGAAAATACCACTACTGATAGTGAAGAAAGTGACAGAGAGTTTACTGAAACGAAAAAAAAATTTGATTGACAACAACACAGCAATTACAGGACTTCAAAAGTGTAACTCAACAAGAAATTATGTCCATCTACAGAATTAAAGAGAAAGTATTAGCACAAAAAACGAAGCAACTTAAATTGAAAGAAATGTTTAATAAAGTAAATAAATAAATATTAAGCATTTTTTGGTAAATTTTGATGATAAAATTTTATATTTTGATTTATGAATTTGATTATAAATGCTTCATCATTTCATAAACCACAATTTCATGTTTTTAATTTTATAACTTCTACATGTCATCTTACTAGATTTAAACTGATGATCTAATATTCGGAATCACCGAAGTCCTAACGAGTCCGGATCTCAGACTTTGTACTGTATGTGTTTAATTTCTACACTTAACTGCCAAAACTAGTTCCTTTGATTTATTCAAAATGGTTTTGCTTGCATTAGTTCAGCAGTTCAGCTTAGGTTAGGTTATTTAAATCTTACGAAGCACACAAAGCTGTCTGCCTAAGCAAAGGGATGCCTTTGTGGAGAAGTTTCTAAGGAAAGGACTCTTATATTACACAAGAGAAAACCATAAAAATCAACCCTATAACCTGCCCATTTGCATGAGGTCGAACATTTAGTATTCAGCAGCCTTAAACATCCGGACATCTGTGGGGACCTGCATTAGCTCAGATAAATTAACTTGTACTGCGTTAAATATATATATATATATATATACTGTTTATATTACGCAGTATCAATGCTTAAATTTTATAGATATGAATGCAAGTCATGGATAGTTTGGAGATCTTAATTTAAGCAAAAAGTCAATAAACAGCTTAAATACAAGATGCCAGTTACCAATAAAGAATACAACAATTCAAATTAAAGAAAATTACAGTTCTATATAAAAAACCAGCAATCTCCTAAAACACAAAAGAATGCATTTTATGTTAAATAAAATTAAGTTGCTTACAAGCGACGTAACAATTCTGGAGGGTATTTATTATGAGGATCTCGGAACTCTCCTTCTTCGTGGAATCTGCTTTCAATTCTCAAACGTTGCATGATGTAAACATCAAGAATGTCTTTAGCAGGAACCTGAAATGTATTACAGATATGTTCAAAACATTTAAACTCAGTTGAAATCAAAATATCAGAATATTTGTAAAATGGCTGATATGTAATTTTATATCTTAATATAAGGAGTTTCAGTATTATACACATGATTAAAGTATATTCTTAATAAAAACATTCAACAGCATACAGTACAATTACATCCCATTCTATCTTTATAAAGAAATTTTTTAACATGATTCTGGAAATAAAATCCTCTTCTTTTTCTACAAGTGTTTCAACACAATCACAGTTAAAAGGAAACTTTTACCATTTTTGTTTTGTTTTTAAGTTTAATTTTTGAAAAATATTCAAGAAAAAAAAATAGTAGAATGTATATTTATAGCAAGATACCACTTAAAAATCAACTCTTGTAAAAAAGTTTTGAAATTAAAAATATACATTTTCAATATTAAAACTTCTAAAAGAGAAACAGTACTGGCATAGCTATATAATTAGGTTTTTCTTTAGTTTATTCTACAAAACTGATAAAATTTCTTTTTTTCCTATTTTAACACTTAAATCCATTAATTTAAGTATATTTCTGGAAAAAAATTCAAATTCACAATGAATGGGGAAACATGATAAAAACTCAATTAATATGAGAATTCTCAGGAAAAAAGTGTATAAGAATAAAACTTATATAAATATGTTTTATCTGTCATATTCTGTTCAACTTTTCTATTACTGAATTAGCAACTCTTCTTTATGAAGGATGAATTATTTTATGCACTCACATGCATGTTTAAAATATATATATATATATATATATATATCTGAGTGATTAGAAATCAAACTAAGATTTATTTCCATTTTAGTATAATATGTCTGAAAATACCATTTCCTACCGAGAATCAATCTTCTTTTTTTTTTATACCTATCATACACTGTAGAAACATTTTTGCAAGAAATCTCCTCATCTATTAGATTAAAACAGAACTGGACACATTTTCCAGATAGACATATTATTAATTTTGCATGATTTACAGATAAAATTTGCTAATATTTACAATTTAATTACAATTCAGAGTTGGCTGTTTAAAAAAAAAAATCGTAACCACATAATCATGCTCACAAAAAATCAAGAACATTTAGCTACCAATCTTGAAATATGAACCACCAGGTGACAGGTGATTCTTGCATATCATAAAAATGCTTCAATAGAATCAAAAATTGAGAAAGTGGTGCTTTTTTTCTTCTGTAATGACTTACTAGAAATGTCATACTAGAATTGGTTCAGCGGTTCCAGAATACCACTTATCACTGCTATTAGAGTTATGTATTCTTGGGCAGAAGAGTTGAGGTCCATGAAATGGTGTAACAAACACCTTAAAAAGTGTAAGTGGTATAGTTGTCTGAAACAATTACATGCGATAAAATAATAATAAAGATTAGGATTCTTAAAAATATTCTTAAGAAACGACATGTGAGTAATACTGCTATTATTATATATTGTGATGATTATTTTTACATTCGCACTTCCTGAGCTTGATAAAATTATAGCCGAGATCTTAGCACAAATCTAAAATCACCAAATATGGTTGAGGGCCGCTATAACAAAGTACAGTCAAATACTGAAAATCCGCCGGCCTGAAATCCGTGTTGCCTCTCAGAATATATAAACATTCAGTTTATAGGTTCTGGAAACCGCAATATTGAGTATAAAATATTGAAGAAAAAAATACTTACCGAATAATAATGAGTCAAAACGGAAATACCAAATTATTGATATAAAAAATGTTTTTTAAAAAAGATAAAATAAATAAGTTTTCCTTCCTCTAATCTGCATCGAGGAAAAAACAGACGATTCACTCGACTCTTTGTTCAAGTTCACGATTCACGTTGTTGTATTTTCTGAGCTTTCTTATTTCATTTCACGAGATTGTTTAGTGATGCCTTTTTTTTTTATCTGGATATTTTGTGGATAAATTAAGAATATTTTTAATTTCAGCCCTTTTTAATACGACAGATAAGAAACGCACTCCTGATTTTACTGCTTGCAACGTTGAAAAACGTAAACACGTTGCATTGACAGTAACACAAAAAGTGCAAATTCTGCAAAAGATGGAAGCAGGTGCTACTGCTTGATTCATAGCAGGTGCTATAGCTCGATTTATAGGAATTGCGACACGATTGTGTATGATATACGGAAAAATAAAGAAAAGCTGTTGAAATTTTACAGCTACAGTGATTCTAACACAAAACCGGAAATCTTTGCATGAGGCGAAATCGGGAAACCTTGATGCTGTGTACATATAATACAATGAATAATATAATCAATTTATATATGTAAAAATAATTTAATGCATATAATAAATTATTGCAATAATGTATATAATAATTTAATTAAATGTATCTAATACGCCTTATTCAGTTTGCACTTTTAGTCCGAATATTATGCATCTTTTCTGTTTTGAAATTCGCAAAATCCTAAAATCCGCACAACCTCTGGTCCCAAGCTTTGCGGATTTCTGGAATTCTACTGTACCACCAAATTGTTTTATATGAAATATTAAACCATTTATGCTGTACATATACTGAATGAACAGCTGATTTATCATTCGTATAGTCAAGTTCTGAAGGAAAAATGAGACCACACAGATTATAATATTAACATTTGTTATTTAGATAGATGAACATTGACAGCGTATACACAGGAGAGAAAGTGAATCATAGCATACATATACATACAGCAGAACCCAAGCAGCAAAAATGAGGTTCTGTCTATCAAAGTGCTTTTAAGCACTAGGGAAATAAAATTAACAATTAAAGTGCATGTAAGTACATAGCTAAATATTTACTAATTAAACAGACTCAAAAAATGCTTTATATAAATCTCTACAATGAATTAAAAGAGTTTAGTTTGAATAAGAATTAACAGAAAAATATGCTGGAAGTCACATGTGTAAAACTTAAATTTGCACAATAACATCTTAGTCTTAAAATAAATTAAAAAAAAAAAAAAAAAAAAAAAACTGATAAAAAATGTTTAGAATTTTATTCTCCCCCTTTTTGAAACTTAACGATCAATAATTCTGCTAGATCTCTGTTTGAATGAGAGGATCTAATTCAAATAAATTAATCAGTATTAATTAAATTAAAAGTCAGGAGATCTGAAAAATTATTAGCAGACCAGGATATGTAATGGAAAATCAGAAATCTATTTAATGCAGAGGATCAACAGCTCTATAATGATCTTAACAGAGAGAAATAACTTTACCTGATGAGTTTTATAATCAGGTAGCATTTCTTGAATAACATTAGCAAATAATGTAGAATATCGACGAGCATTTTCTTCTATGGCTTCACATAGATCTTCAAACATTTCTGCTACATCATCCAGTTCTATTGTTATAGCAACTTGTTCACGATGAGCTATTTGTACCTGTAGAACAATTTTTATAGCTCAGAACTAAACAAAATAATGTATTTTACATCACAGAAGGATATAGAAATAAGTTTCTATGAGTTCTAAAATGAACTAATTTATATATAAAAACCGAATTACAAGAAATATCAGATTAATTCAGATTATGATGCCGCCAGATATTAAAAAAACTTAAATAATTGTCTTTCTCCCTTAAAGCCAAATAAGCATTTACCATTATGAAGCTACAAGAAATTCTATCATTAAAGGTATATCAGTATTTTCTGATTATCCACACCCCTGAAAAGTCCTGAACTTATTGCCAATCATGAATAGCATTTACAAATTCATTGACAGCTTATTTTTCGCCAAGGTGATGAACAAAAGGCAACAGCCATTTTCAAAATGGTGACCCACTAAAAATTCCATGTAACAGCAATCAGTCAATCAAATTAAAAAAGCAAGAAACATCAGTAATATTTTTTTTCCACTGTTGTTTACACATGTACAGATAGAGGACAAAATGAACACCTGTGAAAAAGTATGCCATATTTCACACCTTCAGTACAGCCATGCCACCTGCAACAGAAGTCTGCCACCTAGTGAGCGTGAAGAGGCAGGTTTCATACCTTCCTCTTCATGCTCACTAAGTCTCTCAACAGCAGTCACATGCATTGCATGCTTCGATTGAACTGTCTGTGAGAAGTTGAAATGTCAGACTTGTTAGAGTTCCAAAGAGGAATGATAGTTGGAGCGTGGAATATCAATTAAGTAAATAGAAAACCTTGTGGGGTGTGCAAGGGGTATGGTTTCAGCCGTTATGACAGCGTACACAAAAAGAGTATAAGATGACGTATCAAAGCACAACAGTAGCCGAAAGTCAAAGCTGGCTAATAGGGATACACGGGTCTTGAAGCGCATAGTAGCCCAAAAGCACAAGCAGTCGTTATCCGAGATAACATCCGAAATGAACAGTAGTCTCCAGAACCCCGTTTTAACAAAAAATGTCAAACGAGAACTTCATGTTGCAAACATTTATGACAGAGTGGCAATTCGTAAACACTAGGTGACAGCAATTAATGCTTTCAAGCGATGCCCAGGTGCAGAGATCACAAAGGCTGGCCCCCACAACAGTGAAACATTTAATAAGGTCAGATGAATCATCATTCACCCTATTTCAGATGACCAGATGCATTTATGTCTGGAGAATACCCAACGTTTCATCCTGACTGTCTCTTGCCGAATGTGAAGCATAGGAGTGGCGCCATTATGGTATGGGGTGCGCTATCTTGGTGCAGTCTTGATCCACTTGCTATTTTGCATGGGAGGATCACATCCAATCACTATCTAAGCATTCTATGGGATCATGTCCATCCTTTTGTTCAGACTGTATTCCCTGGGGAGCGACCGCTTTTTCAAGATGACAACGTCCCTATCCACACTGCTAGGTGTATTCAAGAATGGTCCAAAGAGCATGACGATGCGATTGAACATCTCACTTGGCCCCCTCAGTCTCTAGACTTGAATATTATTGAACATTTATGGGCATATTTGGAGTCCAAACTTGGTTCCCAATTTTCACCATCATCCGGACTTTCGAAATTAGAGACCGCTCTGCAGGAGAAATGGCTTAATAGTCCTTTAATATTGTCCATGACCTTTATGCATCTATCCCACGTTGCATTCAATCTGTACTTCAGTCAAAGGGTGGTCGAACCCCCTATTAATAAATATTTTCCATTATTTCACAGGTGTTCATATTATTTTGTCCTCTATCTGTACATAGTAATGTATTTTCATGGAAAAAATATTAGAAAACTGCATACACTCGGCACTACACAGTGACTAAAAGATTACCACATTACAATGACAATATAAATTGAAAAAATATTACAACTGATATTCAAGATTGACATGTTACTTTAGGCTTTGGAATAAAAAAAAAATTACACATAAAAAATAGGGTTGGCATTTATTAAAAGCTTAATAGAAAGATACTGATTGTAATTAGATTTAATATTTTACCTGTACAGAAAAACAAAACTGGCATAATATCAACATATTTGCATGATGGTGACACCCAATGCAATTTCTGCAGATATTGAACTATTATGTCCGATGCCTGCATAAACTCTAAAAATTTTGATGTCCCTAAATTCTGCTGCCCTCCAACTCCCTTAAATTTTAAAAACTTTGCGGTACTACTCTCATATACGCAATCAGATATATGCAATCAGATCGTTGCCAAATGTGGCAACATGTGTTCTGCGTTGTTTTTTGGTTTGACTGTGTGTTCTGCAATGGTTTTTGATGCGATGTTGTTTGTATGGCAACCCTTTTGACGTTGAAACTTTATTTTTGCTGGTTGGTTGGTTTGGTGGGCATTTTGAAATGGCTTATGTTGCAATGAAAGACGTGGTAGCAAAATTTTAGTTGCGTATTTTGGATTGTGTGCAAGATAAATCCAATATTAATGGCCACAATTTTATTCACGAATGTATGCTGGACTTTGTATTCCCTGTGTCTCAGAAGATAGTGGGGAAGGATAAAGTGGTGGAAATTGACGAGTTTTGCTGATGTTTGAAATTGATATTTTTGCTGCTTGAAGAAGCATTCACAACGGTAAATGCATTTTATTTTGTAGAATGTTATGTTCATTGTTTTTTTGCTATGAATTTCTGTCGTTATTGTTGTTTTTTGAATTGTTTGTAATTTATATTAGTTTATTTTGTTGATTTGTGCACAATGCCTAGATTGTGCAATTTGTTGATTTTTTTAAGCTAAAACAGAATGCTGTGTACATGGCATTGTTTGAAATTTATTGTTGTTATGTTAGTTTATTTTAGCGATGTATGCAAGATTCCTACGCTGCACATATTGTGCAATTCTCTGATGTTTTTTAAGTCAAAACAAATCGCTGTGTACATGGATTCTTGTCAAATATTTTTGTTTAGGAACTTTATGTTTCTGCTATCTAAATTTTTTTTGTTTTTGTTTCGAATTTTTGGCGCAAATTGTGTGTTAAAAACTTAGTTTTTTGCACGTGCGAAAACAGTGTTTTTGCAGACATTTTAGGCTTAAAGTTCGAAATGTAGACAAAAAATTTAGAGAGTAATATGGCACCATGGAGTTTGTTGCCAAACATTTTTGGTGAAAAATTTGTCGCCAACCGAGGGAGTGTATAAGAGTAGTTCCAACTTTGCTCTCAGTATCTTTCAAAGTTCTAAAAATTTTGCTGCCTGGTGCAGCCACATTACTTGCACCAGCTGTGCCAAGGGCCTCACATATTTGTCTAGTCTGTTTTTAGAAAAGAAGCACAAGATCAAACTTGAACAATGATTTGTAGATAATAAAAGGAATAGCAATCCTATATATCATACCACAGCTGTCAACTTTGAAATCTGAAAAACCACGAGAAACTGGTATATCTATAATAATGCACTAAACTGTATTATCTTGCCTAATTATATAGTTTAAAGAAGATGGCATGTAACAAAAATATTTATTGGTTAATCTTTAGATTATGGTAACTTGGCGATTTTTTGGCGACCAACCCTGCTACAGCAACCTGCTAGTTTTTGTTTGGACACCATTTTGTTTTCACGAAGTAAATGCATTTTTTTTTTTTTTTTTAACTCAACATTTTTTTCGGTTGATCTTTACATTATGGTAACTTGGCGATTTTTTGGCGAAAATTTGGCAACCAACTCTCCTGCAGCAACCCTCTATTCTTTTTTCCCCGCCGCCATTTTGTCTTCACGAAGTAAAGACATGTTTTTTTTCTTCTTATCTACTGAACACTTCTTCCAACAATCTACTAGCCGAATTACACTTATGCTAGAAATTTTATCAAACAAAACTGCTTAATAATGACAAATATTCACTGCAAAATTGGGAAAAAGTGCACAATACCATACTCCTTACGCGTTTTTCAAAATAACACATACACATAAACCATGTACACGCCGACTTATTTTTAACACATAAACCATGTACACGCCGACTTATTTTTACTTAAGAAAACATCCCAGAATTGCACAAAAATTGCATTGCGCACACTCTTCACTATATCCATGTACACTGCTTTTTTCTCATAAATTAGAAAAATTTCAAAAAAATACATGACAATTTTCTCAATCTTTAAACCCGGTAAAAAGAACATATATGAAATTACCTGATCGCGGAAAAGTATTTACCCTTTACAAATATGAACATTTCCACATATAAAATAAATAAAATATCCAAAAACTTTTACCTCTAAATCATCTATTACATTACACACGTCACCAACGAATTCATACCGCAAGCATTACAAATACTTAGTATCAAATATTTAAATTATTTCCATGCACGTTTATTTCAACTTAAAAGGTATACCAAATTCCTACAAACATAAAATTCACAAAATAACTATCATTTAATTAAAATATCACTAAACCAGTACACGTCGACTTATTTTTACTTAAAAAAAATCCCAGAATTGCACAAAAATGGCATTGCGCACACTCTTCACTATATCCATGTACACTGCTTTTTTCTCATAAATTAGAAAAATTTCACGAAAATACATGACAATTTACTCAATCTTTAAACCCGGTAAAAAGAACATATATGAAATTACCTGATCGCGGAAAAGTATTTACCCTTTACAAATATGAACATTTCCACATATAAATAAATAAAAATATCCAAAAACTTTTACCTCTAAATCATCTATTACATTACACACGTCACCAACGAATTCATACCGCAAGCATTACAAATACTTAGTATCAAATATTTAAAATTTTCCATGCACGTTTATTTCCAACTTAAACGTATACCAAATTCCTACAAACATAAAAATTCACAAAATAACTATCATTTCATTAAAATATAATTAAATTCAAAACCACTATTTAAAATATAAATGAGCACATACATTAAATTAATAAAAATTACCTTACAATCCTAATTACTTTAAACTAAATCATTGCTAATAACAATTTTCCCAATAATACCAAATTCCTTTCCACCTTACATTTAGAACAATGCATAAAAATAATATCCTCAAATAATTAAAAATTCTAACTTACCTAATCTTCTTCAGAATCTTGATTACGTGGCGGATACACTTTTCTAATTCATTCAATAAAATTATTGAAAGATTTTTTCTGCAAATTTTTCCTCCATACTTCCTCCGCTAAATAAAAGCAAACTTCTCTTTATCACAATGCCTAAATACCCATTTCGAATTAACTTTAGTTAGGGCCATGGGATCCAAAAATTAAACAACACTGTTTCACACAACACAGTATAAAGCTAAATACAAAATTTCCACATTTTTTCCTGATTTACCCCTTTTTCCGATTAAAGAACCGTAATTCGTCCATTAATATCACATGACATATCCCATGATCTCTCATTTCCCTCACGCAAAATAATGCGTAATCGGAACTGAGTACTGCTCACATTATTACCAAAGTCCCAGGTAGTAACCTTTATCGCCTCCAAAATGTCGCCAAACTACCAGTTACCATATTGTAAAGATCAACCTTTTTTCCCAACAATCTGCTAGCCGAGTTACGCTTATGCTAGAACTTTTATGGAACAAAAATGCTTAATCATGACAAAGATTAGGTGCGAAATTGGGAGAAAGTGCAGAATCGCAAACTGCTTGCCACGTTTTTAAGAACTGCACATACACGGTATCCATGAACACGTCGACCTATTTTCAGTTAAAAAAACATCCCAGAATTGCACAAAAATGGCATTGCGCACACTCTTGACTTTATCCATGTACACACATGTAGTCCTAGCTAATAACCTTTTATCGCCTTACCAAAATGTCGCCTAACTACCTGTTACCATATTCCAAAGATTAGCAGATTTATTTTGCTTGACCTATAAAGAAAAAGCAATCTGAAGTTACATTGTCAACTTGAGTCATCTATTTAGTTGACCTGATTGTGGCAAAGCACTTCACAAATATATACCAATAAAGGGATAGTATCAGGAGCTCTTTTAAAAGGAAACAGGCTGTATTCATATGGGAAAAAAACACAAATTTCTAATGCAGCCAATCTATTCACTAAGATTCAAACCTGGATTAAACAACCAAAGCTCAGCAATCTTATCTACTCAATTACTGATGAATCCTTAGATATCAGCAGTATTAATGTAAGATTTTGTTAATCAGAAATATATATATATATAAACTACTTTGTAGAAAGCTGAGCTCTGAAACAATGTGTTTAAAAGTTAGATAGAAACAGCAAGAAATCCCAGATTTTAAAAGCATTCATTTGCTTTACTTCTTGGTAAATGATAAAATCATTGTATAATAGGAAGATGAAACACTCTTGTATAAAATTAATAAAATAAATTAACAAAAGTATTCAAATTGTAAAACAGCATAAATGAAGGCTGATCTTTGGAATATGGTAACTGGTAGTTTGGCGACATTTTGGAGGCGATAAAGATTACTACCTAGGACTTTGGTAATAATGTGAGAAGTACTCAGTTCCGATTACGCATTATTTTGTGTGAGGGAAATGAGAGATCATGAGATATGTCATGTGACATTAATGGACGAATTACAGTTCTTTAATCGGAAAAGGGGGGAAATCTGGAAATTTTGTATTTAGCTTTATTTTTGTGTTGTGTGAAACAGTGTTGGTTAATTTTTGGATCTCATGGCCCTAACTAAAGTGAATTCGAAATGGGTATTTAGTGGGATTGAAAGGGGTAGTAATAAGTGTTTTTTTTAAGGTTGTGCAAGATAGAAGATGTTTTATTAAGTTATTTATTTTACCTGGTACCTTGCTGTGAACTATAAGTATGATTTTAAAGATCCTGAAACAGGCGCACATGCGCTTGCTTTTTAATTAGCGAGGAAATAAGAAAAGTTTATCGGCCACGTAATCAAGATTCTGAAGAAGATTAGGTAAGTTAGTATTTTTAATTATTTGAGGATATTATTTTTATGCATTGTTCTAAATGTAAGGAGTAAATAAAGTAATGTGGTACTATTATTGGAAAATTGTTATAGCAATGATTTAATTTAAAGTAATTAGGATTGTAAGCTAATTTTTTATTAATTTAATGTATGTGCTTATTTATATTTTAATTAATGATAGTTATTTTGTGAATTTTATGTTTGTAGGAATTTGGTATACGTTTCAGTGGAAGTAAACGTGCATGGAAATAATTTAAATATTTGACACTAAGTATTTGTAACCATTTGTAATGTTTGCGGTATGAATTCGTTGGTGACGTTTATAATATAATAGATAATTTAGAGGTTAAAGTTTTTGGATATTTTATTTATTTTATACGTGGAAAATTCATCCTTGGAAAGGGTATATACTTTTTCGCAATCAGGTAATTTCATGTATGTGCTTTTTACTGAGTTTAAAGATTCACAGAATTTTTTTGCATTTTCGTGCAAATTTTTGTAATTTATGAGAAAATAGCAGTGTAGATGGATAAAGTTAAGAGTGTGTGCAATGCCATTTTTGTGCAATTCTGGGATGTTTTTTTAAGTAAAAATAAGTCGACGTGTAAATGGTTTATGTGTATGTGCTATTCTGAAAAACACGCAAGGAGTTTGCGATTGTGCACTTTTTCCCAGTTTTGCAGTTAATATTTGTCATGATTAAGCAGTTTTGTTACATAAAATTTCTAGCATAAGTGTAATTCGGCTAGTAGATTGTTGGAAAAAGTGTTCAGTAAATAAAAAGAAATGAAACATGTGAAGATAAAATGGCGGCGAAAAAATAGAGGGTTGCTGTAGCAGAGTTGGTCACGAAATTTTCGCCAAAAAATCGCCAAGTTACCATAATCCAAAGATCAACTTAAATGAGTTTTCCTTTCAAATACACAACTTTACAATTCATACAAAAAATTAACAACAATTACTTGATAAGTTTTATCTGCTGAAATTATTTTTAAAAAATGAAAATTCTTCTTAAAATTAGGAAATGAGTGTTAGCCAACTATTAAATGATATAAATATCCACAAATTCTACATATATATACTGTAAACTTAATTTCAGTAAATAATAATAAATAATAAACCAATAAAACTTAATTTCAATAAAAATAGAATAATAAATTTCAATAGAAAGCTCCAGTCCACCTCATATAACATTTTAATTAAACACATAATGACGGTAAAAATTATTTTAAATAATTTTTATAAGCATATGATTACTCGGTTAAAAGACTAAAGTTAGTAATTTAACTAATAAAATGTTCACTAGCAAAAAAAATATTAAATATCAAAACATCAATGCGAATTTTTTTTAATAAACCTACCAACTGTAACCCATATTTTAAAGATTTTTCTCCTTTCTTGTCTTCTGTAACAAAGCTGGACAGGAACGTCTTGATTTTCTCTTTAAAACAGAAAGACAAATATACATTTACAGAAATAACATATCGATACACTCACATAAACTTAAAATAAAAAATGAATGAAAAATCAAGGAATAAATAAACGACAAAGTATCATTTCTGTCAAAAAGAACTATGTGCAAATGTGTTTAAGGAGATTTTTGCTTGCATATCAATGAATTACATACATCAGCATATCATATCACTGTTTACAAATGATTTCGAAAGTTAGCTCCATCAATCACAGGATAATTATTAACAAAATAAAACACTATTAAAATACAACAGTAAATTATATGTGAATTAATTAAGACCTAAAATGTCTATATAATCAGAATTTCAACTACAAATGCTAATTTCTATCTGAAATTTAAATTGCCTACAGAAGAAACAAAAGCTAAAAAAGAAGCATTTTTCAAGTTTATAGTTATACCTTTATCTTCTGAATAATCTCTGGATGGCATTTTATCCTATATTTAGATGAATACAATATATTTTTTTAAATACAACATTTAACCGGAGCAACGACACACCAAAAAGCCGCGAATGATTTTGGCGGGAACAGAATACGATTACGATTAAAATTGGAATGACAGGACGAAACGGTGTCTGTCCGTCCGAAGTCGAATCAGGCAAGTCACAGTGCGTAGAGACACTATTTGTAATATTTGCGATTTTCGATAAAGTAGTACAGAAATGTTTGTTTAAATTTGTGTTCACTTGTAATGGACATTAGACGAAAGGAAAAAAATCTGGGACTTGTTTGTATTATTTTCCATTTTTACTGTCCGATACTGTATCAAATCTACGATAATGTGTAAAAGATATGCCAAAACTATTAGTTGCTATTATAGCTTATCCAACGAAGACTTCATCTGTGGCCAATATATGGCGTCACCCCTGATCAACTTCTTCACTACTGAAGACTTTGCACTTTTATTACAAGTGCACAGGACTTTTCCAGTTTATGGAATTTAACGAATTTTTACAGGTGCTTAGGAGATTGATAAACATATAGTGGTAAAGGCCCCCGGGTCGAACACCACTTAACGAATGATGATCTCCGATTGTATGGACATCCTGTCACGGGTAAAAGCTTTTGTTTTGTTTTTTTCCTTGAATAAATTGTGTCATTCTTGATATATATCTAGAACTTAATAGAAAATCAGGAATTATATATTTTTATAAAAAATTATTCATACTTTAATTTCCTTAGAATTCATCATTTTATACAGATGCAATGTTTAAAAAATAATCAGAGTTTCTCAAAATTCTAATCAGCTAATCTTAATACTGTGAATATTTTTTCAAGGAAAGGCTTTTGCTTTTAAACAATAGATGGCAAAATTTTGTCAATTTTGTCTGCCTTTTCAAAGGGAACAACTGCTGGCAATACGATCAAAGTATCTAATTTCTAACGTAAAAACTATTCTTCAAATATTATTTGTTTTTTCTGTAAAATTTTAGCATTGTACTATACACTTTAGGGATGTCTAAAGATGTTTTGCTGAGATGCAGTTTTTTACCAAAAACCCAAATTTGGAATGTGGGAGCAATGCTGGAATTGGAAGTTGGAATTCTGTGAATATTAAATAAAATATTAAATTATATAGAAATGCATTAATTAATCTAACATTATAATATACAGGGTGATTCTAAATTGCTTTGCTTTTACACATTAAGAGGGGTGATAGTATCCATCCAGAAGAGCAATAATTACCGTAGAACATAGGGTCGCATTCCATTCTGAGATGTAGAAAAGAGAAAAGTAGAAACACATCAAGGAAGGACAATGTGACTATCTATCTCCTAAGACTATCAAGAATTAACCGTATGCAAATTTTTACTGAGAAGAAGCAGCATTTTGCTCTTAGTTGGTACCGGAGGAAGCCAAACGGTGTCCTTGGAAAAGACACATCATCGCTTCAAGTATTAGGGCAAGTATCTTAGGTGATTACCTGGCAGGCCCTTACATCATGCCACCGTATCTTCTTCGAACAAGTACTTCCCAGTTTATTGTAGGCTGTTCCTCTCACCATTCAGAGAGACATGTGGTTTATGCACGAGAGCCCCAGCACATTTTTACATCACGGTCCGTAACCTTTTAAATGTCACATATCCGCAAGATGGCTTAGACGTGGCAGACCTGTGCCTTGGCCTCCTACCTCACCGAACCTTAACCCACTGAAAGTTTCCTTCTGGGGGCAGATAAAATCTTTAGTGTACGAGACGCCTGTTGACTCAGCTGAAGATCTCATGGCGAGAATTGTTGTTGCTGCGGACAAAAATAATACGACATCAGGAATCTTCGGGAGGGTGCACAGTCATTCCTTCCGATGACAACTGTGCAACAACACAACACGGGTGGCCGGCATTTTGAGCATTTTCTGTAGGTTTTTCACTAAACAATAAATCTGATTGCGCAACTTTTGGTCTCACTCATTCGCTTTCTCAACACTGTTTTAAGTTCAAGTTGGAATTCTGATATTCCTTTTTTCTGTCTCTCAGTGTGGAATGCGAGCCAATGTTCTATGGTAATTATTGCTCGTCTGGATTTGTACTATCAGCCCTCTAAATTTGTAAAAGCAATTTAGAATCACCCTGTATTTAAAAAGATTCAGTTTAATACAAATTTGTGCTTCAATTTATACACATACATTTTATGCACATGATTATGTGTCGATTATAGTCGACTTATGTTTCATGTTTCAAAAATAGGACATTTTTATCAGTTTACTTGTACCCATGTATATGTTATTACTGTCTTTTGTTTCATGTAAAAGTAAATCAATATAACAGTGAACTAATAAACATCAAATAATGTAGACCATTTTTAGTACAGCAACAAGTAAAATTCATCATTTGTCACTAGTTATTTAATTTACTACTGTGAGTCATTAGAAATAAAATGGGAGTTCCTTCCAATTAGAAAATCTATGAAACAATTGTTGAGGGAACAAAAAAGAGCAAAATAAAAAAGTATTTAAAAATCTAAAGGCCTTTCCGATAACAAAAATAATTTAAAAATCAGAAGGCCTTCAGATTATTTATCGTTTACCAAACGGGCGTTTTTTTATCGTTTTGTGTGTTACTTGTATTTATTAAATATGTTCTTCGCACTTGAACCATAAAGTTCAATTCGATAGCAATACCACAGAATAATTTAAAAAGAGCATATCTTTAGAACTTCCGATACGTCGTCTCGCGGGCTGGAGATAATTTTTTTTTTTTTTTTTAATATGAAAAAAAAAGCTGAAGATCTCATGGCGAGAGAGTTCTTAGAGTGTTGCCATTGCTCGCTTTGAAATCGGCGAGTTCGTTAATCAAAAATTCGTTAACGTTTTACAAAATATGAAAGAGATAATAAAACCAATTTTAAATTCCAAATTTAGGCTTCGACATGCCCACATTCGAGTGGGGGGACAACGTTATTCAAAATATACTCTCTCTAAGTACCGCAATGCGAGAAACATACATTCATGCAGATTCTTCATTATTTAATTTTTTTACAATGAAGAGCACTAATATTTCATGGCAACAATATGAAAAGTGAAACGACGCTTATAATGAAACAACGCAAAATTCCCAAACGAAATTAATGGTCCTTGCAATTATTTCGTGTACATTTATAATTATTTTACAAATTTTTAGCCCTTTTGGGCAAATTGCCCCTTTGGGCTAAAAATTTCTGAAATAATTATAATATATACACGGAATAAGTGTAATTTTGCTTTCTTTTTCTTTCTTTCATTCTGCTATTTTGATACATCATTTTCAATCAATTTAATAATTTTTATTCTTTTTCAGAATTTTGAAACTGACATACGGATTTGAAATGACATGATCTGAAACTTGAAAATAAGAAAGTGATTTCAGCATAAACAGGGTTCTAGAATTTTCGCTAACTGGAATAAATCCGCACATAAATATGACATTTCCTCAGAGTCATAATATTTTCTTTCTATGACTTTTATTTATTTAAAACTTATTAATGGGCTTATATTTTATGAGACGAAATTTCCGATATGATTACCACACTTGCATTTCTTATGATCTTTTTAACTAATGATTTGAAATATATATATATATATTTGTTAATTAATTAGTTTCCAAAGCAGTAGCTGCTTCCTTATTTCAATTCTTTAAACTGATTTGTGTGCTGCACTGCTATGAATTTTTAATTCATGTTTTATGTTGTATTTCTCAACGCATTAAGCCTTCTGCATTAACTTCCTTTTGATGGCCTTGAAACTTTAGATGAACTTTCAAATTTTAACTAACAGTCTTAAATAAAGAAAGATGAGAAACACGCCAATTTAAAATATAAAATTAGCAAAACAACCACCATCTATTTAATTAAAATATGCGCCAAACAGAAGGTGTTGTTTTGCCTAATTTTATGTCCCCCTCTCTAAAATTCAAGCATTCTCCATTCATGTGTACTATTTTCAGTAATTCAGGAAACCTACTACTTTGTGTCAATTTTAAGAATTTTTTTCGCACTATTTAACGGAATATTTTACTTTTACTGCTTCATGCATTTTATGAAATATTCTTTCCATATATAGAGTCATTCAGTAAATTTCAAGCATAACAAATTTGTACAAGATAAAATATCTAAAATTTCTTTCTCAGTTTCCTACATTGACTTTCAAATGCATTCCATTAAGCTTTGAATACCATTAGAAAAAAATATCAAAGTCTTCATACCATTTTTCAACCTCAATCAAATCATCATCATCACTGCAACATGAAACATACAAATACTGCTTTAGTTTAAAAAAGAAAATGATGTTATTTGAGGACAGGTCTGGTGAGCATGGTGGAGGGGATAAAAGCTGAAATCCACATTCTTCGATAGCAGTCTGAGAAATTCGAGTATTGCACGCATTGCTTTCCAAGGCCAGCACTTTTCTGCTGATTTTACTACAGAGTTTTACAGCTAATAGAAATTGCATTGGATTTTTAGCATTACACCGAAACATATGAGGGTTATTTACATAAAAAGAGGCATAGCTTTTTTAAGGAACTTTTTAATGAAAACTGGATCGTATTCACTTTATACATATGGAAAGCAGCTAAATTCCTCTGAAGACAATACGTTCATCGAGATTGGAGTCATGACTGAATTACCAGTGTTCAGCGGATTTACCCTTCAGCAGCTGGTATGTCTTGTTCAAGTTGAGTCAACAGGTTTGCGTAATAAACACCTTTTATCCTGATATTATATGGTTTATAATCAATAAGCAGTGATCTTCATACTAACAGCTGATACAAAAATTGTTATTAGCTGATTTCTGTGCTCTCAACTTTGGAATCTGGGAGGTCTCATATCATGCTCTTTACTTTTGTTTCTGAGTCTGGATACAAAAGACAGATGAGATCAGGACAAATACCCCAAATGGATAGGTAATATGTATTGTAGTAATCTTTAATACGGCATCATACTGCATTCACAGCTTAAATTCAGCTGGAGCCCACCGGAACCCGGCCACAGTACTTCTCAGTCTTTGAGTTTAATAGCAGTTCTAGCCGGAGCAGCTCTGAATAACCAATGAGCTTA